TCTTGATGTGGGACGTGATGCTGAATTCGCCAGTCATTTTAGGAGCCTCAAGAATTAGAGGCAACCTCTAGCACATATTCCTGTTCCCTGTTCCCGCGAACCCAAGAAAGCAGCAAAGGAGCCCATATGGAAACCCTCACAGCACCTAGACGGTATAAACGCGCAGTAGACCCCGAATACCCTCGAAACCCTAAACCCTAAAGCCCTAATAACCTTGAACCCTGAACCCGAAACCCTCAAGCCCTAAAGACCTAAAAACCCTAAACTTCCCTCGTAGGTTCCTTTCAGGGTTCCCTTATTGGTTCCTTTATGGGGGTTCCTCTAAGGGTTCCTTTAAAGACTCCATGGCCCGGGGGGAGACTCGCCTTGAGCTTCCGGGAACCACAACCAGCTGCTCGCCGTGTCCACGGCCGCCAAGATACTGCCAGGGTTGAGGGCTCAATTGAGGCTTAGGGTTTAGGATTTAAGGCTTAGGGTAAAGGGCCTAAGGCTTACGACTTAGGGTTTAGGTTAGGAGGTTACTCGGGGTACATAATGAGGGTTTAGGGTTTATGGTTTTGGGTTCAGGATTTAGGGTTTACAATTGTTTCATGGTGAACTTAAAAGGGGATTATAAGGGTTTGCAAGGGGTTTGGGGTGTAGGGGTTCTACACAAAGGCTCTGTGAGGTTTTCACTAAGGGTCCCATTACTTGGAGGATCATGGGACCTAGTAAGTTACACCTGATTGGGGTTATAGGTAGCTATTAGTATAGCTACCCTAATAATGACCCTAGCAACTAAGTCCCATGATCCTTTGAGTAGAGTTTCATTGGGTTTGGGGTTCAGGAAAGGACGCAGTGCAGCACTCCTAGACAACACCGGGCCTCTGTCCCGGCGTGCCCACGGAGAGCACAGCAAGGTACAGGCCACCGGAATCCGGCTTCTTGACCTCCACCTCTTGGATGTTCTAGAAGGCTTCTCATAGGTTTGATCGTGTGTCAAGGCTTCTATACAGTTGTTGTTTCAGGGCTTACGGTCTGGGATTGGGGTTTCGAAGAATGGGGCCGGGCATGGGACAACGGGGTTGACGCGTGACTTGCGGAGGGTTGGTTTGGAGCTTCAGGGTACAAGGGGTAGGGTATTTCAGGGTGAAGGGCTGAAGGCTCGCCGGAGGGTCAGAGTTCGGGCATAGGGCCAAGGGCTTGCCGGGGGTTCGGAGTTTTGGGCAAAGGATTTGGAGTATGGCGGATCAGGGTTGGGGGCGCAGTGATGAGGGTCTGGGGGGTAGAAGCGAAGTGTTTCAGGGCGGGGAGCAAAGATTTCTCGGGATTTTAGGCATAAGGCTTGGGGCATGTAGGGCTTTGGTCTGTGGATGTCTCCGCCAATCATAAAGTTGCAGAAGCCCTGAAACCTAAACATTAAGCTATAGCACCGTATCAATCAAGTTCCATGCAACCTGCGAGCTCAGGGTTAAGGGCGTAGGGTTCGCAACTTAAGGCTTACTTGGAGGTTCATGGGTACTTATACGTAATTAGGGGTATACGTCCCTAAATAGGGGCTATAACTCTAGTTAGCCTGCTTATAATCTCACTTGTAGCTACCCTAACCTCTAAACCCTAAGCCCCTGAACCCTAAATCCTAAACTCTACTTATGATCTCGCTTGAAACTACTTGGAGGATCATGGGACTTAGTAAGTAAGGTTATAAGTACCCCAATTGGGGTTGTAAGTATAGCTACCCTAATAATAACTCTAGTTACTAAGTCCCATGATCCTTTAAGTAGCCATGAACCTCCTTCAGGGGCCGAGAGGTTCGGGGTTCCAGGACGATGGAGGGCCTTGGCTCACTTTGGGGGTTGCCCAAATCTGGGCCTTTCTTTCGGAAACGATGGGAACGGTTACCTTAAGGACCCTAATCTATGGGAATTACGGTACATTCCTTATTATGGGCAATGCAGGAGTTATATCAACCGGAAACAAATTCTAAGTAGTTTAGGGTTCTTTGTATGAGGGTGCCGAACCGTTTTCCTGCAACCCCCAAGTACTTTTTCGTTAACTGCCGCACGAGCACGGTGAAGTCTGCAGCTGACATGCCTTCAAGTTGCTTCCGGGGTATGCCACGCCAATAAGCAAGTATGTTGGCCTTCCTGGCTTCCCGGAACCCTGCCTCCTAAACCCTAAACCCTTAAGGCTCGAAATGTCCCATTCTCGGCTAAACAGAAGCCTTCCCACACCATCATCTCTACCCTCGAACCCGAAACCTGCCTCTAAAGCTTTTAGGGCGAGATCCAGAAGCACTGAGCACAGGATGTTAGGGAGCGGCGTTTCGGGCGAGGAGGATTCGAAGAATATGGTGTTCAGGAGTCCTGCTGCCTAGGGATCGCCTTGATATAACCATAAGACGATGCAAAGCAACAAGGGCATGAGTTTATACTGTCATGAGGATGATGATAAGGACGATGATGTCATATCAACGATCGCTGGACAATCTTAATACTCAGCAGAATGAGGGCCACGATGAGATCTGGTAGCCCCGTTGCTTATGGAAAGGCTTTGCCGAGAATAACAAAGATGACAGCGCAGTAGGAATAACTATGTCCTAGTAGAACTCACAAAACAATCAGCTGCACATTAGCACTTTGAAAAGACAGAGGGTGCCCTTCTTCATACAACTCAGTCTTCCTACCCACACTCCCAAAACACGACGGGTATGAGGGTATTACACGGAGACCCTTTATGCTGACACCGTAATCCTGAAACTGGGTTCTCGCTAAGGGATTTAATTCAAATTACCATAAAGAAGCCATATTATGTACGATAGATGCCTATTATGGTAACCTAAATCAAATTTCCTAACATAAACCCTAAGCCCCGAACCCTAAACCCCTAAACGAAGCTCCTCAAGAACCCTAAACCCCTAAACCCCCAAATTAACCTCCTCAAGAACCCCAGTAAACTCAGAGGGCAGACCCAGCCCTGCATATTCCCAGAACTCCCCTTCGGGGAGCTCCAGGGCACAGATGTGCAGATCGTTTTCCGACCCTCCCGTGGGGCTTAGGGTTTAAGGTTTGGGGCATCGGGTTCAGCAAGTGTTCGCAGTTCACGGCACGGCCAGAGAGCCGGACTTAGGATATGGGGTTTAGGGTTAAAGGCTTGTGGGAATTAGCAAATGGGGTTATTGTTAGGATAACTGTACTTGTAAGTACTGATTACCCGTATTGGGGGACTTATACCCCCACTTATGACTCCCATGAGCCTATAAGAAATTGAAACAACGGCCCTCCGAAACCCCTAACCGCCCTCCTAACCGTCTGAACCCTAAACCCGCCGAAACCCTAAACCCCCCGAAACCCCTAACCTTCAGAACACATCCTTCAACAAAAGGATATTCGGCTCTGGGTGGAGGATGCATCCCCGAACATCCAAGCCACTTAACCCTAAAGCTTTGGGTTGTGGGTTTAGGTTTATGGGAGTTTAGGGTTTAGGGTTTCGGGTTCAGGGTTTAGGGCTTAGGGTTTGGGTTTCTCATGCGGTGGCCTTAACCTTTACAATATGGTGTTTGGTGTAAATTCTGGAATAATTGCATAAAACCGACGAAGAAATGCTTTTAATGCTCAGTCAGACCTCTATATTGCACCCCTGCAAACCCAATCAAAGACCTCATAAAGCCGTAAAGCCCGATACAGCCTCTGCACAACCCTAAACAAGCCGTATTCGTACTGACTACTTGGAGGTTCATGGGTAGTTATAAGTGGGGTTATATAAGTCCCCTAATATGGGTTGCAAGTATAGTTATCTTATCGAAAACCCCACTTATAACTACCCATGAACTTCCAAGTACTCCCAAGTCCGCGACACCCTGGACCCTCTAAGGTTCCCAAGCCCCGGGAGGCTGACTGTACACGAGAGGTGGCGCAACTCTCTGATCTGGACCTGACAGTTTGGGGTTCGGGGGGATTTGGGGTGTTGCCCAGAGCCTCCAAAACCCCTTAATTAAGGACTGTACCCTAAATCAGATTAGGGATCCTATTGTACTTCCTTAATTAAGGGTTTTGGAGGCTCTGAGTGTAGTCGAAGCGGTCGCAGAATTATGTGTTGTTCACACACTAGAAACAGTCAAATATTTTGCAGGACACTTAGAGTATACCTTGTAGAACGAATAACCCAAACCATCGCAGAACCCTAAAAACCCAAAACCCTAATTAAAGCCCAAATCACTGGCCCTAGATCCTAAACCCCAAACCCTTAAGCCTAAACCCTGATGAGCCCCGAATCGCTCTATACTGAACTTAGAACCCTAGCAAAAAAATTTAATTTCAGCTGTTTCTTAGGGCTTATAATAACCAAAAATTAAAAGCTATTTCTAAGTACCCCTAAGAAATCAAGCAGCCAGATTAGAAGTTCAGAGCACGCGCGCTCAGATTCGACTGTGGGGCGTGCGCGGCCCCCCTCGGAGCCTGGCGGGTTAGGATTCAGGATGCTGTCATTGTTTGCTTTTAGGGTTTTCTTAAAACCCTAAAAGCAAAAAAGCGTTTAGGGTTTAGGGTCTAGGGTTTAGGGTTGAGGGTCTTAATTTAAGGAGAGACCGATACCCCTTAAAATCAGAAATACACCCTTAGCTAAGTAGTTTTGGGCCCTTTGGCTACGAAACAGTCTCGTAGCTTCAGAAACGAATGGCGAAACGAAACAAGTACCGAAGCCTGCATTTCATGGCTCAGAGTTCAGGGTATAAGCTTGAAAGTATGGGAAGGATCGAAGGTACACGGGGGAGTCACCATCATCATCGTTGTCATCATCATCAGCAGCGCGTCATCACCAACGTCATCAAAACCTCCAGCGTGAACATCAACTGCAGAAGGAAGGGCGGGTACTTGGAGGATCATGGGACTTAGTAAGTAAGGTTATAAGTGCCACAATTGGGGTTATAAGTATAGTTACCCTTAATAATAACCCTGGTTACTAAGTCCCAGGATTCTTTAAGAAGCACCCCGCCTGCAGCCCTGGGCTTGGCATGAGCCCCATCATACTTGTGCGGCCGCCTAGGCCGGGAAGGGGTTTGGAAGTAGAGGAGTTAAGGCTCAGTGTTCCTACGGTTGATTATATAACTCCTGCATTACCTTAAGGACCCTACACTATGGGAATCATGGTATATTCCTTATTATGGGTCATGAAGGATTTATATCATCAACCGTACTTCCTAGTGGATGGAAGTCATGGAATAGTTGGATGGGGTGGGATGCATTGCCAGAAAAGGTAGCTTGCACAACCTAGCTAGGAAGACGAGAAGGCAGGCACAAAGAAAGTCACTCTCTTTCAAAATGCCAACCCGGTCTGGACTATAACAGACGCACCCGCTCATGCTCACGGAGATGCGCAAAGGCAAAGGGTGACATTAGGGGCCTTGATGTATAGAATAGGCTTTCGGGGGCCATTATACTATACAATAAGGAACCCCCAAATAGTATTGGTACTTATAGGCCCCCATAGTAACTGACGGACCCGCGTAAACAGGAATCTTGCTTGCTCACGTGATGACCTGATACCCCTGTCGTGGCTCTGGCGCCACCCGAAGTGGCCCACAGTGCAGTCATAGCATGCGCGTTTTTAGAAGTCTGGGGTTGCGGGGAATTCTTGCAAAAACCTTTTAAGAGTGCACAAAATCCTTTGCCTTTGCTGATCCTGCTCTTTCGAAGCCTACTTGGAGGGTCGGGGGACTCAGTAAGTAGGTAGTAAGAAGACTTATAAGTACCCTAAAAGGGACCCTAATTGGGGTTATGGTACTTATAAGTCCCTAAAATAACCAGTTGCCAAGTCCCCCGACCCTCCGAGTAATCCGTAAAACCAATGCATGCCTGTGAAACCTCTCTCACAACCCCTAAGCCCTAAACGTGTTGGAAAGCAGAAAAAACAAACAACCCCCTAAACAATGGTGCAAACCACACCCAGAACAAAGACCTTAGACCTTGTGGAGACCAGGAACAACAAAAAAATCCTCAAATGTCACATGCCTACGTACATGCGCACCTATGCACATGCAGGCATACGTACATGCATACATACATTCCATTCCATTCCATTCCATAGCCTTGCATCGCATTGCATCGCTACCTTAAAATTACCTTGCATTTGCATTACTACTTACTTTACATTCAATATAATGCAATATATCACATGCCTGAACACGTACAGTCACGCATTAGTTTACAGTACATCACTACCATACACGCATATAGGTGTGGTAATACTGGTACCTATTCATGTGCTTCTTTGCTTACTAGCTTATTTACCCAAGTATTTGGTTATTTGGCTGTTTGTTCGTTCAATCAAAACTTGATTTAGTCAGTCAGTCAGTCCGTCCGCCAGTCAGTCTTTCCTTTCATATATGTATATGTGTGTATATTATATATATATATACATATATATACACATGTGTATATAGATATAGGTATAGATATCTGTAGATGTATAATTACATGTACACACAATTCAACGTTTAACCTCCGTTTCATTCATGTATATCCTACACCCTAAATCCTAAAGCCTAAATCCTAAGTGTATACACATAAATGTATAGAGAGAGAGAGAGACAAAGAGAAAGAGGGAGAGAGAGAGAGAGAGAGAGAGAGAGATACATATATGTGTATATATATATATATATATATATACATATGTATGGGTGGTTGTCGAAGTTATGGTCCCTTTTTGGGCCCCTATTATAATACGGCACCCAGTATTTAGGGTACCCAAAAAGGGACCGTAATTTTGACAACCACCCACATGCAAGAAATGGCCTCTGCAGCCTCGGCTTCTCCGAGGGGCGCCTGCCCGTGGCGGCAAAAATGCCGGGAAGCTCTTGCGCATTTGTAAAGCGTCCGTCTAAGGTTTAGGGTTTAGGGGTAATAGTGTTGTAGAGTCCTTGTAATGCTGTGGGGTTGCATAATGCTCTGTAGGGTTGCATAGTGTTTTCTAAGGCTTTCTAGTGTTGCCTGGCATGTTTTCCGGGTTTCGTTTTGGGCTCCTTTTCGGGCCAAGGGGTTTGGAGCTTGGGTTTCGGGGTTTAGGCGTTTAAGGTTTAGGGTTCAGCCTTCCTTTAGTGGGCTTAGGGTACTTATTTAGGCCCTTATATTAAAGGTATTCAGGTTTGGGGTGCGGGCTGAGGGTGCTGAGTTCATCTAACGCTATCCCCATTGCAAAGTTTTTTTTACATACAGGGTACTGCAAATTGCTGCGATTATGTTGATGGACTGGGTCACGACAAAACCATCGCTATTAGATTCCTACTAACATGTCTCTTCGTGGCACTGCCGCTTTCGTCACAGTGACTTCCCTTGTTGCTCTAGCTCTCCTGTTCTGCGCCACCTGTTACGAATTCGAAATACTGCTGCTGTGCTTGACGGACTTCTGAGTCTCATTGCCTGGCTTCTTGAAACGGAATATAATTCATGTTACCATTACATCGAAACCATACTACTTACAGTAGACACCTCAAACGGTAACTTAAAGTAAACCGCTTGACAAGAACCCGTTGTTCGAACTACCTCAACATCGCATCACCAGCACCAAGACCAAGCCCGGCCGACCAGTTTAGGATTTAGGGGGTCTGGGGTTTAGGGTTGCAGTGTTTAGGGTGTAGGGTTTAGGGTTTAGGGTCTAGGGTGTAGGGTTGCAGGGTTTGGGTTTTTGGTATTGTCGTTGCCGGCGTGGTCGAAGCAGCAGCATCTTGCACTTACCACACCTTTGTTATCGGGCTTCTCTTGCACTCTGCAAACCTCATGCTTGTGTGTGTATATATATATATATATACGTATATACAAGAGCAGCAGCGGTCACTGCAGAGCATAAGTACAATAAAACACAGCGAAAAGATCAAGCGGTAGTAGCAGTAGTAGCAGTAGTAGTGGTAGTAGTGGTAGTAGTGGTAGAAGTGGTACTACTAGTGGTACTACAGTCCCCAGAGCGGGGTCTAGCTTTGGCCTGCTCGTGGCTTTCCTACATGGCTTGCAGATACTTCCAGTCAGGGCTCTCGCTCAGTTAACGTACAGTCAACGTTCAGTCAACGTTACAGTCAACGTTCCAGTTAACGTTGCGACAATGCTGGCAGGGGCAGCATTTTGAAGTTTTCAAGCATAAAAAGCAAGAAATACATGTATTTCTTGCTTTTTATGCTTGAAAACTTCAAAATGCTGCCCCTGCCAGCATTTTCGCAACGTTAACTGGAACGTTGACTGTAACGTTGACTGAACGTTAACTGAACGTTGACTGCACGTTAACTGCAAACTCCTACCAAACGTAGCAAAGTTGTGGAATTCTTGCGATTTTAGAATGACCTGGCTGCTGCGCAAGATGCACCTGGCTGGGTTGAGTCTAGAGCACGGACTTCACGGCGATTCAGCTTTTGCTACAATGGCATTTCATGGCAAGCCGCACAAGTACCTCACGCAGCATGTCACGACCCTCTAGAAACGTCATTACTCGAGTCGTAGTAGTAGTAGTAGTAGTAGTAGTAGTAGTAGTAGTAGTAGTAGTAGTAATTAGTAGTAGTAGTAGTAGTAGTAGTAGTAGTAGTAGCAGTAGTAGTCGTAGTAGTCGTAGCAGTGGTAGGAGTAGTAGTAGTAGTAGTAGTAGTAGTAGTAGTAGTAGTGGTAGTAGTAGCAGTAGTGGCAAGAATTTGCTGATAGCAGTGGAAACCACGGAAGGAGGACGACGACGACGAGGAAGAAGCATGCATTCGTTCCAAGAGAAGGTATATCTTTGACACATGCCCACATGAGGTAGCTCGAATAGGCACCCTCGACAGTCTTCAGTTCGTATGAAACTGCAAGAAAAATTGACCCAGAGTCGTACCACTCTGAAGCCGTAGGCTTTCACACCGCGACCTTCCTGCCGCAAACCCCTGAGCCAAACCACCTGTACAGCGCTTTTGGTCCTCGTGTGATGCGCCTAAACCCTAAAAGCCCAAACCCTAAACCCCAAAGCCTAAACCCTGCAACCCTAAAACCCTAAACCCTAAACCTCAAAGCTCAAACCCTAAACCGCGCCTCTGTAGTAGCTTTTTCCTTCTTCGCCTTCTTCTCTTTCTTCTCCTGGTCACATGAGCGCAGGCCCAAAACTGGGTCCCGAAGAGTTTGGACGAGATTCGGGTCCATTGCTATACTACTACATACTAACGATCAGATTATTAAGATACTGATATTCAGAAAAATTTATATCTATCTATATATATTATATTAATATTAACATTATGATTCTTCAGAAGTATACCAGATCGCATCTAACTTCTGAGGTTCGCCGTCCATGTCTGAGGCAAGCGGATGGACCAGGGCTCAACTCGAGGACCCCTTACTTATGGTATAATATACCCCAAAAAACCAACTTGCCATAGCCCTAAACCCCATAATACAGGGCCCCAATAATTACCTTACTATTGTGGGGGTTCCATCTTATAATTATGGTAGAATATACCCCAAAAGCCCTGTTCTAATCATTAAGGCCCCTATATTATACAACCCTAAGAGATGCCTGAAAGGTGCGGTAAAAGGACCCCCAAAACCCTGCATGGAAAGGGGTGAAGGTTCCTTAAAGGATCATGGGACTTGGTAACTAGGGTTATGGTTCCTTAAAGGGTTCCTTAAAGGGATCTATAAAGGGATCTACGGGTTCCTTAAAGGGATCTATAAGGGATGTAGGAGGGGTTAAGGGTTTAAGGATCATGGGACTTACGGTTGATGATATAAACCCTGCATTACCTTAAGGACCCTAAACTATGGGAATTATGGTATATTCCCTATTATGGGTCATGCAGGATGTATATCATCAACCGTAGTAACTCAGAGGGATCCTTAAAGGGTTCCTGAAAAGGGAGCTATAAGGGATCTATGGGGGGTTTAGGGCGTAAGGATCATGGGACTTAGTAACTAGGGTTATTATGAGGGTAGCCATACTTACAACCCCAATCGGGGTACTTATAACCTTACTTACTCAGTCCCATGATCCTCCTAGTAGGGAGGGGTTCACGGAAGGGTTTAGGTTTTAATGCCTTAGGGGTTTAGGGTTTCGGGAATTTCGAATTCAGAGACTTAGGATGAAGGGGAGTAGGGTTCCCAGAGACTCCAAAATCTCTTAATTAAGGATTACACCTTAAATAACAAGAGGATCCCCAATATGATTCAAGGTCGATTCCTTAGTTAAGGGATATTGGAGTCTCTGGGTTCGTTCAAGGTTTCAAGCTGTCATCTCCAAAAACGGACCCTTGCTAAGGGAAGTTCCCACGTATCTATCCGTTTTTAATGTTGCGCGCCAGGTGAGACGAGGGGACAAGGTTCAGGATTTCGGGAAGGAGGCAGGCAAGAGTTGAGGGCCAAGCTTATGGGTAATGAAATCGTCGCGCCTCGCGCTGCAATGCCTCTGACTTCGCCAAGTAACTTCAATCTCAAAGGCTCAACCGAAAACCTACCTGAAACCACACCCCAGAACTTCGAACTCAGACCGTCCAATTCTCAGCTTTAAAGCTAACGCCCAGAGACCAAGGATCAAACACACAAACTCTTCAAATCCTGAAAGCCTTCGATGGCCAGAGTCATGGCTTGGATTTCTTCTATGGACTTCGGTTTCGTAGGTCTACGGGCCCTTAGGTTGGGTAGCCGGACTTTTCAGGCGTGCCTTCTTGTCCTTCTTTGCCTTCGCCTCTGACCCAGGCCTTGGATGGCAGCCCTTTTAGGGTCTAAAGTTTATGTTGAGTTTAGGGTTTAAAGTTTGTTCTGGGTTCAGGGTTTAAGGTCTAAGATTCGGGAAGGACCCAAGACAGGCAATTCGCGCGGCGGCGCCGTGCCAAGTATCTGGCACAAAAACTCTGGACAACAATAAACCTTATAAACCCTAAACCCTAATCCTAGCTACTCGGGTGCATAGGTCATAGACGTCATAGACGCTTCCATCGAATCGAACAGTTACCCAGAGAAGTCATGTCCATGTGGGCCCTTAGAACCAAAATAACCAAAATATCTTGAGCAATCCCTTGGAGGTTCATTATGAGCATAACAAAACACAACTCCGAAGAGCACTACAGTGCCAGAGCTTGTGGCTCTCCTATGCTCCAAAACCCAAACTCTCAACCCTCAACCCTGAACCCCAAACCCTCCCTGGTCAAATTTGCGGAGCCCTTTCGAACCAAGCTTTTAAGTTGTAGGGTTCAGGGTGTCGGCGGGCACTCTGCACCTGAAAGTGTTCACTGGGCAGGGTAAGGCTTCGGGGGTTCAGGGACGTGTTGATTGGGTGTGCTGGGTAAGGTAAGGGTTTAGGATTTCGGGATGAAGGTCGAGGGACTGTGGACTAGGGTATAGAGATGGGCTCGTAGGTGGTACGATGTCTGGTTAGGGGTCAGCCGCGAGTTGTCTGGGGATTACACCTACGGTCAAGGGGGCCCCGTGATCTCCATGTTGTAGGGTGCCTCTGGCGCTGGTCCGCTGCCTGCAGCTGGACTTGCCATCTGGCTCTTTCTGATATGCATGCTTCCATTTTACGCCATGGTCGTAAGAGCTCAATTGCGATAAAACCGCGGCGCAGGCCTGTTTCGGAAAGGCGATCACATCTCGGCCTTGCAAGGCGACTGGCCTGACGTGCGCAGTGGAGGTCTCGTGCTCGGCGCTGCCCATTGGGAAAGCCTTGTCCTCTGCCGGAGCTGCATCACTCAACCAGAGACCTCGCTTCACTTGATGCTTCAGTCTGTCCTTGGATTCCTTATGCTCTCTTCCCCTCTCCCTCCCTCCCTCCCTCCTCCCTCCTCCCTCCTCCCTCCTCCCTCCTCCCTCCTCCCTCCTCCCTCCTCCCTCCTCGCTCTCAATCCCTCAATCTCTCAATCTCTCAATCTCTCAATCTCTCAATCTCTCAATCTCTCAATCTCTCTCTCTCTCTTTGCTTTGCTTTGCTCGGGGTTTGAGACGGGAGCAGTCCCCCCGTCCCGCGCGAGTGCGCTACCCCATCCATCATTTGGAAAGGATGGGCTCGGTCTATACAAGACTGACTTACATAGCAAAGGGTGCTCCGAAACTGTGTTCCCCGTATGGGGTGTTTGTTTGCTCGCACCGGCACTGTTAAGAATCTGGTATGTAAAAGGCTGTGTGTACGAGGGGAAAAACGTGCTTGAATTAACGGCCATGCAAGTCTTATGCAAGCTGTTGGCACACCATTCTAGGGTTCATGGAAATGAGCGGGTGCCCCTCAACACAAATTAAAAGGTAAGTTAGGTGGCTTCAGAGTGTCGCGTTCACTTTTTCCACCGGTGGCAGAGGTGTTGTTCACGGATCCGGGTGTCCCCGGCGAGTTGCATGGGTGTACATCAGACATATGTCCCAAAACTTGTAGCCACTGGTGCCTCGCCTTTGTAGTCGGCGCTCACTTCTCTCACCTGTGCCTTCGAGGTGCTGCAGCTGTGTCGTCGTCCTTTGGTCCTGGGTCGTCGTTGGCACTTGGTGTCCTGTGCCTCCGCGGTGCTGCAGCTGTGTCTGGGTCGTCGTCGGCCACGGGTGTCCTTTGCCTTCTCGGTGTCCCTGCCACTATCACGTTCATGCCGGGCTTCGTGTCCCCCGTCCAGTCTAGTCCCTCTTTAGCGTCTGGTTGAGGTCGCCTGCGAGGGAGAGGTGGTCGAGCAGCTTGATCTCGCTGTTGCCCTTTTGAACGATGTGGTTCTCCCCCTGGTGTCGCGTCTTCACTCTGAGTTCCTCCATCAAGTGGCATGTTGCCCCTCCCTACTACCGGGCCACCTCCGGAGAGGGCCGGTTTCAGGAGAGGTCTTCGCGACCCTTTGGGCACTTGAGAGCCCGACATGTTACGGCGAAAGGCCTCAAGCCACCCCCCGCCCTCGGCACGTCCACCCCCCAAGCCCACAGAGATAACCCTCTGTGGTCTCGAGGGGCCGGCCGAAAAGCGACCCGCTCCGAGGAGCAGGCAGGCGAGCGACTTGAGCCAAAATGGCTACGCTCTCTCTCTCTCTCTCTCTCTCTCTCTCTCTCTCTCACTCACTCTCTCTCTCTCTCTCTCTCTCTCTCTCTCTCTCTCTCTGTATATATATATATCTATATATGTATATGTATATTGTTCGCACGAGCCGAACAGACAGGGTTTGCTGAAGCTTAGGGTGCCAGTCGTAGCCGTATCGTATCCTCTATTCTTGTTTGGTAACCCTTACAATCGCCCAATCACCCCGGCAGCAACCCTTCAAGTAGCCTGCACAATACCCCAAAAGTAACCCTTAACCGGAAACTATCCCCTCAGACCCTGAACCCCGAGCTCCTAAACCCCTGAACTTCAACCCCTGAACCTTAAGCCCTATGCCCTGAGTAACATGCCAGGCCCATGGAAAGCTTACAACCAACCCCCTGCCCAAAGAAAAAACCTCACAGTGAAAGTAACTCGCTTAGGAAACCCCTGCAGTAACTACCCCTTATACCCCTAAACCCGAAACCCCTAAACCCCCGACCCCCTAAACCCCTAGACCCTAAACCCTGTACTTTCTATCGTACTTAAAGGATCATGGGACTTAGTAACTAGGGTTATTTGCAGGGTAACTATACTTATAACCCCAGTTAGGGTACTTATAACCTTACTTACTAAGTCCCATGATCCTCCTCAAAGAACTCCTTATAGAAACCCTATAGATCCCTTATAGATCCCTTTAAGGAGCCCTTTAAGGATCCTCCAAGTGCCCCTTAAAGTGAGCCCTGGGCTTCAGTCGACTTGGGGCCCTGGCGGCTCCGAGGCACTCGCAGAGTCCCTCCTTGCCAAGGCAAGAGCGGATCTTTAGGGTCTTTTTGGCTTTGAGGGCTTATGGCCTTAGCAGTTTAAAGGTTTAAGGCTTTACGGGGGGTTAGGGTCTAGGGGTTTAGAAATGAGGCTTTAGGGCTTCAGGGCTTTGGGGCTTTAAGGCCTTATGGCCATAGCAGTTTAGGAGTTTAAGGCTTTCGGGTTTAGGGGTTTAAAGGTCCAGGGTTAAGGGTAGGGTTTAGGGGTGTAGAGGTTTAGGGTTTAGGGGTTTGGAGGTTTAGGGGTTTAGGGTTCTTTTAAGTGCATCGGACTTTTGATTGCTCGAAAGCCCGCCTGGTTCAGGCGTGCACTCCAAAGAGAACAACAAAATGTCGCCCCTCACTCGTTCAAGACGAAGCCCCTCATCACGGATCCCGTTTATGGGTTTAGTGTTTAGGCTTGCCTCATCTGGCGAACTACTCTGTAGAACCTACACCCCACAATGAAAGCCCAAGTAGTCCGCTGTCTACTCCCAGGCTCGCAGGAACACCAAACCCACAAAGCTCACGCCCACAATGAGAGAGCCCACCACCAGTTAATCAAGAGATATACCTACTATAGCTAGGAGTTCAAGCGTTTTCTTTCATTACAGTGTGTTGTCTTGCGCTCAGTAAACGCGTGCACAAGACCTAAACTATGCTGAGTTTGGTACCCTTGCAAAAGCTGTAATGCTAGCCTGGCTCTTTGGGATTGTAGTAACCAAACACGAAAACTTGTTTCCAAGAACCCCTAAGAAACCCTGCTGGCCTGTCATGCTCTGCCGGCAGGGCCTCGGCATCTCTCGGGTTCTCTCGGGTTTAGGGTTTACTTGAAGGCTCATGGGACTTAGTAAGTAAAGTTATAAGTAGGTTATAATTAGGATAACCCCACTTAGGGGACTTATAACCCCAATTATAACCTACTTACTAAGTCCCATGATCCTCTAAGTAGGGTTAGAGGTTTGGTGTTCAGGGTTGAGCACTTAGGATTTTCTTCAGGATTCTGCAGGTCTCTTGATATAGGGCCGTCGTGGGGTTCCGACTCCAGGGTTGCGACGCCTCTAAGAATCCTTGGACATATTTTACTTCCGGGAAAACCCCCTAGCAATGCAAAAAAAAATCCAAATGTAATCTTAACAAGAAGGTGATGAGCAGAAAATAACAAAAGCAACAGCAGACAAAAAGCTTACAAAACCCTAAACCCTAAACCCCTAAACCCTAAAGCAATCAAAAAAGCAAACAATACCAAAGGCGACCACCAATGCCCCTGGACTGCAGTTGCTCCCTAGGAAGAAAGAACAAAACTTTAGGGTTTAGGGGTTTAGGGTTTAGGGGTTTATAGAAATTGTAAAGGGTTTGGGTCCGGAGTTTTGGTGGGTTTTGCCTGGTTTTGGGGGGGGGGGGTGGTTTTCGCTTTTGCTTTTGTGTTCTGGGGTCCGGGCTTGTGGGCTGGGGCTGGCTGGGGTTGGTGGGGTGGCGGGCTGGGAGCCGAGCTGGCTGGTGGGTGCTGGGCTTGGGGCTGGGCCTGGGAGGCTTGGGCTGGAATGTGGTTGGACACGTTTAATGAAAATTTGAAACTAATGCAAATGCAGTTCGATACGAAAATCACACCATTTCTATTTATCCTGCACTTGAGGGTTTAGGGTTTGGGGGTTTAGGGGTTTAGGGGTTTAGGGTTTTGGTTTTTGGGTTTAGGGTTTAGGGGTTTACGGGTTTAGGGGTTTAGGGGTTTAGGGTTTAGGGTTTAGAGGTTTAGGGTTTAGGAAACCCCGTGCCCGTAGTTTCTGGAACGCGCTTGTTTGCTTCTCCCCGAAACAGATAGATCAAGCAACAAAGAAGCTGAAACCACCGTGCCCGAAGCAACGGCCCTGGAAACCTCCGTGGTTTCCGTTTTTTCTAAGGAAAGGCGAACAAAAGTGTAACCAAACGAAAGACTAACATACCTGCGCGGAAAGTTTCCGGCCGATCGTGCTTTGCAAGCTTTTGCTTTCGTTGGAAAGAACCATTCAGCCTCGTCACCGGGAAATGCAACTCTGAGAAGTAGCTTGAAGCGGGGTCAAAACTCTAGGCCCCTTTTGTAGTGTTTTTTGACAGCTCTAAACTCACAAAAGCCGAACTAAACACTAACTATCCTAATTCCCTAGCCCTAAGTCGGAATCGGACAACCATAAGGCCCACCTCCGACAACCCAAGCAGCCAGAAGACGTGGACCCTGCACAGTAATTACACCAGGAGTCCGCAAAGTTGGCGCTTTGAGTCAGGAAGGGCAGTTCTGACACAGTCTTCGGGGTTCGCTTGCAGGAGCGGCGAAAACAGCAGCAGAAGTCGGATCGGTACTTGTTTGGAAAGCAATATTCCTTTTCATAAGGTGCCCCAAATATCTAACGTTGGCGCGCCTGTGCAATTTGGCACACCTCAACCTCTACGCCACAAAACCTCGTCCCACACCCTCAACCGCTACCCCAAGACACCAGCCCGAAAACCTCAACCGCTAAACCCTCGAATCTCTTCCCCCAAACCCCAAAGACAACCTCGCCCGCAAAGAACCCTAAACCGCCAACCCTAGACCCCAAAAACCCGAAATACCAAACCTCAAACCTTAAACCCAACCCTAAACTCCAAACCCTAAATCCGCCTGGCCAAAACCCTAGACCCAAACCCTATAGATCCCTTTTAAATCCCTTAAAGGGACTCTTATAGGAGCCCTGTCAGGAACCCTAAAACCCTAAACCCCAAAACCTCGAGAAAAGCTCTGTCAGGAACCCTAAAACCCTAAACCCCAAAACCTCGAGAAAAGCTCTGTCCCGTGCGGGCAACGCCAGTTCTTGAGAGCCCCGGTTCAGCGAGTCACCCTGCAGCCATCGCTCCGGAGAGAGACTTCAGGGTATAGAGTTTGAGGCTTTAGGGTTTGAGGTTTTAGAGTTTGCAGCTTTATGGCTAAGTTGTGATGCCTTGTGCGCTGGGTCGAAGCACGCGATGGCGCCGGCTCTGAGTTTCTCCGGTCTCGTTTTAGCTTTTTGTTAATTGCTGCGTATACTACGTGAGGCCCTAAACCCTAAACCCTAAACCCTGAATACCTCTACCAGGGTTGGCTTTCCATTCTTCCTGAGAGCTCAAGCTCTGCGTTGTGGTCTGAAACCAATATGGAAGTTTCATTCCTCTACGTCTTCCCTTGACCCTGATCCTATCCCTGAATGCAGAGCTGAAAACTATGTGGTGTTCAGGTTCATCATGATTTTCGAGGAACCGCTTGGTAAGGAGGTTTGCTTGTTGTTTTCGAAAGTTGGGCTGAAGGCTTTTGAGGATACCCCATCTTTGTAAGCAAGATAGCACTAACTTTCGGGCAACAATGCCACAATCTCTTATCAAGTGGTGTCACCCTAAACCCTAAACCCTAAACCGCTTTCAATGGTCCGTCAGGTCGGGTTCAAATCGCTCCGATGGCCTTGGCGCTGGCGCTATTTCGCCTTGCTCTGTCTCATCTCAACAAGATACAGTTTAGGGTTTAAGGTTTAGGGTTTAGGGTTTACTCTTGCAACTCAGAGAACGCCACGTCCTCCACAGAACGCGTCCTCATGTCGACTTCAGCTTAAGCTCCAAAAAATCACTGTGCACTTCCTCGTAGCCTGGAAGCTTGCCAAGTTCATGAGGCGTTGCCACGTCGAGCAAGAACGGAACTGGCAGCTCTTTCAGCAGAAACTCCTTCCGTTCCCATTCTTCTTTGCAAACACCTCGTCCCCGTGCCAGCTGTGCTTTGCAGTTTTCGCCCAATCGGCCAGCGGCATGAGCCGTCCAAGGGCGCCGCGAAGCGGAATCGCCGGGGAATTTCGCAAGCAAAGATAGTTCTTCATTTTCAACAGCACCAGCTGAACGAACACTCCAAGGGTTGGACTTCTACATCAAGCCCCCTATATATTCTAACCTTTGCAACAGCCCTTGAAGGAACCCTTTAAACTGCACTGAACTTTCTACCCATGCAAAAACGTAGCAACATTTTGGCTGTTTCTTAGGCATAACAGTACCCACAAAATCAAAACTATTTCCTAAAGAAAGGAGGTAACCTGAAGGAAACGTATCACTAAGGCTTCTATTGCAGAGTGCCTCGGCCGATTGAGACGCCGACTCCGCTGCATTGTCGACCTTAGCTCGGTCGGGCGCAGGGCTTTCTGTTAAGGCCTTTGTCCTATCCGCTGGGGGCCACAATGGGGCTCGGGGTTTGGAGTTCTTGGTAGGGCTTGGGAGTTTGGGTTTGGGGCGCACGGGGTTTTGAGTTTTAGGGCATTGTCGAGGGTTCAGGGTTGATGGGTTTAGGGTTTGGAGCTCGGGGCTTGGGTTTAGGGTTCAGGGTTTAGTAATTAGGCTGTAGTGCTTTCGGCTTGTGCACAGGGTTTTGATAGTTCTTTCATGAAGGCGCTCAATCTGCATAAGGGCTGAAAGGGCTGAGAATTCTGCAGGATTTTCGGGTTCCTTCAAGAATCAGTTAAAGGTTTGCTTTAAACGGTTCCTGTGGAGGATGCCTTTAAAGAGTGCCCGTGAGGGCGTTTATAAGGGGCGCTATATCTCTTCCGGACTTAAGGGTTGTTCAGGGTTTAGGGTTTAGGGTTGAGGGTTTAGGGGTTTAGAGGGGCCTTAACAGTTTTCGTCGGGGTAGGATATAAACGATAGTCTCGGTCTCAGGGGATAGAAATGATGACAGTCCCGGCTCTGAGGCGTCTCTCCCAAAGCCTAAACCCTAAACCCCACATCCCAAATCCTAAACCCTAAACTTTAAATCACAAAGCCTAAATGATGCTCCAGTCATGATGGAGCAGGTAAGAAGAAGGATTGGCTGATGTTCCGTTTGCTTTTGTCGCTCTTTCTCTCGCTCGCTGTCTCTCTCTCTCTCTCTCTCTCTCTCTCTCTCTCTCTCTCTCTCCATATACATATGTATATGGACATACATTTTCTATATGTCTATATAGGAATGTTATTCATCTGTAACCTCCGCTCCAGAGAGCCCCCGCAGAGTTTGCCGCCGCGTCGGAGCCCAGAGAGCGAACTGGCGGCTCCTCCTGAGGTGGGCTTTAGGGAACTTTACAGAACTTTAGGGAACTTTTCAGGTTTAAGGGGTTTAGGGTTCAGTGAAGGGCTTTGGGGTTTAGGGGGTTTAGGGGCTTAGGGCTTAGAGCTTAGCGGAGTAGGGTTCAGGGTTTAGGGTTTAGGGTTCAGGGGTTTAGGTTTAGGGTTTAGGATGGGTAGTTACAAGTGGGGGTTATAAGTAGGATGGCTATAGTAATATTCTATATTTCGGGACTTATAACCCTGCTTATGACTACTCATGAACCTCCAAGTGGGGAACTGTAGGGTTTAGGATGTAGGATTTAGGGCTTGCAGAGTTTAAAGAGCCCTAAGTGCTTTGAGGGATTAGGATTTAGGGCTCTTGCGGTTTAGGGCCTAGGGTTGGGAGCACGTTGGGTTTTCGGCTTGTCGAGAAACCCTGCCTTAAATTCTAGGGCTTAAAGCTCTTGGAGCTCCGAGGCCTCGGTTGAGGGATCCATTCAAAAACTGCTATACGTCTTAGGGTTTAGGGTTTAGGGTTTAGGGTTTAGGGTGTCTACAAGGCAGCTGGACGTGTTAGGCTTCAAAGGCTTTTGTAGGGCTTTGTTTGTCTGGGTTGTGCTTTAAACCCGTTGAAAATTACTTATGAATAGGTTCCCTTTATAAGGAAATACGGGAAATTAACAATTATCCCAAGGCGCAACCCAGCTGTGTGTATTTTATGTTTAGGGTTTGGTGTTGTGGCTTGGGAGCCTCAGGGGTCTTGGGTCCAGGGTTCAGGCGTTTCGCTTGAAAGGCTCTTTCGGGCTTGAGATTCGAAGGTTACGATGAAGTTTAAACTCGAAGATTATGATGAAGCTTGTATTTTTGAGCAAAATCAAACTGTGATTATGATGAAGCTTAAACTTTGCTAAAAATCAAAGTGTGACTGCACGGCTGATCTGGGAAATTGCCGATGTGGAACTCAGGCCTCAAGCTCTCATACTTGGAGGATCATGGGACTTAGTAAGGTTTCGGTACCCGAGTTGCGGCTATAAGTGACAACAGTGATAACCCTAGTTGCTAAGTCCCATGAGCTTTTAAGTAGCTGCCGAACTCTAGACATGCATGTCGGCGGCAACTGGTGCTCTACGACGGCAGTGTTACATGCTGAGCAGATGCAGAACGAATCACCCCTGACTCACTCGTGCAGCCTCGAAGTCTTCGCCACTTCTTGAACCCTAAACCAAAACACCAAACCAAACGACGTGAAACCCTGAACCCTGCTACGCCTAAGTTGGCCCTTTAAAGCCTCTGAAAATATTCGTAAATAGGGTCCTATTAACCCCAACAAGGGCAAATATAACATGTCCCAAAGGCCTACCTAGACGCTGGTGGTGAACGTACAGACCTCCCCGTCCATGAGAAGCGCACACCGACGACAGATTGCACGGATATCCCAAACCCGAAACCTTTAGAACCCTACGCACAGAAAACCTCAACATAAACCAGAATGGAACACACTCTAAAACCCACAAAGACGAAGCCTCACATCAAAGGAACCTTTCGGGGAAACGTTATCATACAAGCTTTCTCCGAACCATTTCTAGGAATCCTACACCCTAAAAAGAACGATCCTGAAATTCGAGGAGCCTTTGTACCTGAAAGGTTTCATAGGTCCTGCGCTGCCGTCTCCGTCGCGGGGAGCTCCATTCCATCAGCTTCCTGCACGGGTTAACGGTTGTTCTTTTCGAAGGTGCTTGTTAGGGTGGGCACTGTATAAGCTTTCTATAGGTTTTTTTGTAAGGTTGCCTTTCAAGGTTCTATCAGGCTTCCTGTCACGGTTTTGCAAGGGTTATAAGCTAGACGATAATTTTTGTAAAGAGCTTTACAGGGCTGTACATGTTTTTCAACCAGAGTTCGAGTAAAGGTCCTCGCAAGCATTGCACCAAGACTCTTGGGACTGTATGTGGCTGGGGCTGTGAATTTCAAGGCTGCAGGGTTTCGGGCCTAAGCTTCGAGTATGGGGTTTGGACTTTGGTTTAAGGCTGCCGGGCTCTATGAGTTTTTAAACAAAGATTGCATTGCACCCTACAGCCTAAGCCGGGACCTAAAACCCTAAACCCCAAACGTCCTTACACCGTAATCATATTACAACCTCAAACCTAAAGGAAACCTAAAGGGGACCCTATGATAGAAACCTACAGTACCCTTAAAGAAAGGACCATTGCAGAACCTTATGGTAACCCTGTAGGCCGCTGTCACCTGCGCGAGCCTCCAATGGCTTCTCCGAAAGCTCGGGTGCCTCGACGTTGGTCGGAGGCTCGCCGTCCTGCTTGGAGCACACTTGTTAAAACTATACTGAATGAACTTGGGACCCTTGCAAGAACTGCAGTTTTAGCTGCTTCTTACGGATTAGAGTAACCGAAAAACAACAGTACCTCCAACGAAAGCCCTGCCCCGCTCAAGTTCCAGCATCAATCCCGAGCCTGTGGCCCGGAACTAGTTCGAAATCTTGCAGGGTTTTCTGGGCTACTCGGAGGTTCATGGGTAGTAATAGGTAGGGCTAGAAGTCCCCTAATTAGGGTTACAACTAGACTGATCCTACTTCTAACCCCACTTATGTCGACCCATGAATCCACGTGTTGATGATATAAATCCTGCATGACCCATAATAAGGAATATACCATAATTCCCGTAGTTTAGGGCCCTTAAGGTAATGCAGGATTTATATCATCAACAGAAGTAGGGTTAGGCAGCCGAGCCAGAAGCCCTGAAGCCCGGACACCCTGAGCCTGCCCTCTAAGTTACCCAAAGCTTGTAAGCTTTTAGGGTTTAGGGTTTAGGCTTAGGGCTTAGGGTTTAGGTTTTAGGGGTTTAGGGTTTAGGGTTTGGGGTAAGCCTGAAGGTGAACTTCTCCCCTGGCACCAAAACGCTTATAAACTCCAGCCGAAGCCTTCAATCCTGAAGCCTGAAACCCTAAACCCTAAACCCGGAAGCCTCAACAGAAAAGCCTGAAGACTTCAGACTCTTCTTCTCGGGTTTGTAAGAGTAGTTACTATACTTCGGGGAAAGCGGCGCCCGACAAAGCAAAACGACGCCCGAGCAAAACTGGGGCGACAAGGGTGGTTCTAACTTGCCGCCTTACCGGGCGCCGCGTCCAAAAACTGGAACTCCTACGTCAGCGAGCATCCACACACACACACACACAGGTTCCACGGATCTGCAATCTCGAATGCCAGGCCGTGAACGGAACCCTTGTATAGATCCCCGGTAGAACCCTTGACAGAACCCTTTAAGGAAACCCTATTCTGATTCTTCAGGCCTCTATGCACTGCACAACCCATTCTGAAGATACCTGGCTATACAAAGCCCTAAACCCTAAACCCTAAAAGTAGCAACCGTAAAACCCTAAAACCCCTTAACCATAAACCTTACACCGTTGCCCTCCAAACGCGGCCTCGTTCGTAACATCCAGAAGTTGTGCAGCTGCGTCCTCGCCCGCCTTCTGTTTAGGGGCTTGGGGCTCAGGGCTTATGGGGTTCATAGGGTGTGGGGTATTAATGAGCGCGGGGGTTAGGGTTTAAGGTTTGGATAAAGCCAAACAGAACGACAAAACCTCCCTAAACTGCCATACAGAGGCCTCCGTGATAAGATTGAGTAATATCGATATTGGACCAGGCCACTACATTAGATCACAACCCCCTTCACCCCCGTCAGGGCACGGCAAGACCCCGACCCGACACGGCGGACACCCTAAACCCTAAACCCCAAACCCCCAAACCCGCGAGCATGACCCCTGAATCCTAAATCCGACGCTGGGACAACCTAAACCCTAAACCTCGAAACCCTGAACCCTAAACCCGACCCTTCTGCCTGGAGCGCAGCCTCCAGCTTGGCGCCTTGGAAGGGATCTGCATGGTTTCACACAGCTCGGGTTAGGGGTTTCCGCAATTTTGTGCACATTAATGCTTCAGGTACATACACGATTATGGCTGTTCTCTGGTCTATGCTAAGCCGCAGCTCAACCAAGAGCTGATAAGATCCCAACCCACCCGAAAAAATTCGCTGTCGCCCTGGGGTTGTAGCAGAAATCGGTGCCCTACAGTAAACTAGGTGGGGCTTTTAAAGCCTTTGAAAAATATTAGTAAATAAGATCCTCTTAAGCCCAATAAGGGAAAAGATAAAATGTCCCAAAGCCCTACCTAGTAAACTTAAACCTTGAACCCCTTAACGTTCAACCCCAAGCCCACAGCTTGACAGGTTTACAAGCTGCACTGAACCCCTGTGTTCTCAAACCCTGCAAGCCATGCACCCCCCCCCACGCCCTGACACCCTGAACCTCTACATCCCAAACTAACTTGTAGATAATAGTCAAAAAATCCCTCCTAAAAGCACTAGACACACTGAAGCCATTAGGAATTCGGCTTTCACACAGCTGAGCGCAAGGCTCTTCTTCTGGTCCTTCTCCTTCTTGACCTCTCACACGGTTCCGGCAGTCTTCATGCAGACTTTTGCGGTGCTCGAAGACCGGGGGCTTCATGATTTCTCATGGAGTTTTCGCGGAGATTCAACAGCTTATGTGGAGGTCTTCGTCGAATAGTATCAATTATACTCTAGGTTTATACAATAGTATCGATTATCATGTAACAAGCTGTTCAATGCTTCTGGAGGACCTGGGTTTTCTAATGATTCGAAGTCTCCTCCAGCGGGCTTCATGGCTCCTTCACATTGGGCTTGGTCCTTCGGGTGCTACTGATACTGAGCCGTCGAAAGGCGCCAGGACCCAGGAGGTAAGTTTGCGCAGGCCAGACCACCAAAAAATGCAGTCGAAAATCACAAAACACGGATGCTGCGGAGCCCCATGAAGAGCCGAATTAAAAAAATTCATAGCAACTTTGATGCTAATCAAAGCAACAATAGAATCAGAAATCAAAAAAAATTGGAAAAAGATCAAAAAACTAAAAATGGTTCCAAAAATAGTTCCAAAAAAACAAATAACTATAGCTCCTCTTGTACTTAGACGGACCGGGCTCACCTTGGAGAGATCCGTCGTTCCCTTCATCATGTTCAGGAACCTGGTGGAAGCTTCCCTAAACCCTAAACCCAAAACCCTGAACCCAAAACCCTAAACCCTAAACCGCGGTTTTCTTCGGAGGGACTTTTTGAATCTGCACGAGGCATTTTTTGACCCTATTGGGTACTTGGAGGATCATGGGACTTAGTAAGTCAGGTTATAAGCACCCTAGTTGGGGTTATAAGTGGTTGTAAGTATCATTACCCTAATAATAACCCTAGTTACTAAGTCCCATGACCCTTTAAGTAGGCACTGTCGACAACAGCTGTTGCGAAGCTTGGAGTACAGGGCTGGAACATGTGGCTTTGAACGGCCCGTTGCGGTGCTGGGCTGCGTGTAGGTCTCGGGGCTGTAGGGTCTAGGGTCTAGGGGGTTCGGGTTCCGCTATTGGAGTTTAGGCTTTGGACTGCGGGGGTTGAAGGCTCAAGGTTCAAGATTCAAGGTTGAGGGCTTATGGGAGACCCAGAGACTCCAATATCCGTTAATTAAGGAATATATGGTCACGTGCTCCGCGCCCCCCCCCCCCTCCCCCCCCAAAGATCAACGGTCCGGATATAGGGTGGGAACCCCCCCCCCCTGTGGTGTGGGGTGTGGGGTCCCTCTTCCCCCTGTGGGGTGGTTGTAGGATTTTGGGGTTTAGGGTTTAGCTTAAGCTTTTGAGTGTTGGGTTTACGGTTACAAGGTATAACGCTTCGAGTCGACAAGGGCTTAGGGAGGATTTGCGGTGTATGTTCTGCTTTAGGCTTAGAGCCTGCAGTTAGGTGGGGTTTAGGGTTGAGGTGTAGGGTTGGAAGTACTACTTAAGGTTACTCAAAACAAGGGCACGCGCTGCGTTGTAGGGTTTACGGCTTGCTTGCGAAGGGCTTGCGTGGGAGCCCTGGCCGCCAGCACCATCCCACCATCCAGTGGCAGCTCCAACGGCCCCGACCCCTGTCCGCACACGCCAGCCCCCCCCCCGCACCCTAGCAGACCATACCATTGTGGGGGGGGGGGGGCGGCTGGGAACGCCAGATGCCTGACCATATATGCCTTAAATCATACTAGCGATCCTACTATAATTTAGGGTATATTCCTTAATTGAGAGATATTGGAGTCCCTGGGTGCTGGCGCCCAATAATAGGATCCTACCAGGTGGAGATGCGAGGTAGTTGGCTCCCTCCCTGAAGTTCGAAGAGCGCGAGACAATCGCGAACCCTAAATCTCCTGGAGCCCCAACCCGGCAAGCCTTATGGAGGAGGTCCACTTTGGGGTGTATGTAGGGCTTAGGGTGTAGGGTTTAGGGTGTAGGGTTTAGGGGTTTAGGGTTTAGGGGTTTAGGGTTTTTTTTTTTAAGTGCAATGGGCCTTTTCTGGGTTTAGGGGTTTAGGGGTTCAGGGTGTGGGCTCGACTCCCAACCCTCACCCTGAAACCCCACAGCTTTCACTGCGAACTGCAAGCCTCAAACGTGAAACCCTGCGATGCGGAGCAGAAAAGGGCTTTGGAGTTCACCACACCTCCAAAACGTAGAAGTCATTCAGGCTCCTCACAAGCCCCTCAAAGGAGTCGAGACGCTCCAGAAAGCTGATCCGCCGATCGCCGTCCTCGTGCCGTTGGCGCACCGGGACCCTCTTTCTTTTGGGATGCTATGACGATTGAGCTTCATAAGTACTCTATGGATGGCTTTAGAAGGGCTTTGCAAGGTCCTATGTTGGCTTTCTGGAGGTTTACACGGGTTTTCAGAAGCTTTTCATCGGGATTTTAGGGTTTCCAGTTTGGGGGTTCTACAAAGGCTGTATGGGGGATTCACCCAGGATTCCATTACTTGGAGGATGAAGGGACTTAGTAAGTAAGGCTATATGTACCCTCATTGAGGTTTTACTTTGTTTACTTTTATTTCCTCTCTGATAACCCTCGTTACTAAGTTCCAAGATCCTTTAAGCACAAGAGCTTAAGCGTCTTTGGGGCTTTGGGGCTTTATATGGTCTCGGGTTGGTCTTGGGCTTCCAAGCCCTCAAAACCCAAATCTCGAAACAGCTTCGGGTTTGGGGTTTAGATTCGTTTAGATCCACAACCAATCCCTGAGGCCCGTGCAAACTCAACTGGAAGACAGACTCGTAACCCACGCAGCTACAACGCCAGGAGACCCTGCTGAACACCTCTGCTTATGCCTTCATGAATCGCTAGAGCACACCGTCGAGGAAGGTCGCGCGCCTCATCTGCATCCTTCAGAAGGTCACGGCACTCATGTGCCGACACGACCTCTCAGCGATTTCGGTGGTGTAGTGTAAATCGATTTTCACGTTTCAACGCAAGGACTCGTATTGTCCACTCGCTGCAGATTGCTGTAAAAATCTCCCCCTGAAGAGACTATTTATAATCACTAAGCCGGAACCCTCGCAAGGCCCCTGCTAAGCGCTCTGGAAGCTCGGCCGATAGGAATCTCGCGACTTACTTCTCGAAAACGAGGGTTATTGAAATCCTTCCTTCCCCAGTCCCACCAACGCCTAAACTTCAACCCCTCACCTCTTGACCGTCTGGCTGCCCATTGTTGAGGATGTCCATCAGATCCGTCACGCCAATCCTGGGTGATTTGAAACCATAAACCGAGAGGATGTTGAGTTCGGGATGTGTGTCCTTGGCACAGTGGTATCTGGTAGCACAACAAGTTGAGGCTTCAACGGCTCGAAGTTTAGGACGTGCCCTTCATGGCTGGACTGTGCCGCCGCGTGGAATGTAGGAGAAAATATACTTTGGTGCAAAGAAGCGCGCAAGGTGATGCTGCTGTTGATGGACAAAATCCTGCATTACCCTTTATAAGGAATATACCATAGTTCCCATAGTGTAGAGTCCTTAGGGTCATGCAGGATTTTGTCCATCAACAACAGTAGTTCGTCCTTGTTCTTCAGGGGTTACAGGCCCCAGAGCCGAAGAGTAGAATTGAAGCTGTACATGTGGGAGTTTCCGAAAATAGGGGTACCTTATTTAGGGGTCCTTATAATAAGGATCCTACTATTTAAAGTACTATATTAGGGTCCCCTATTTTCGGAAACTCCCATGTGCACCGATAAACGGCATCAAGACACAGAGATCTTACTTGTGGGCGATAAAAAGCACCTGTAAGAAAAGTTTATGAAAGTATGTGGGTGGTTGTCAAAATCAGGGTTCCTTTTTGGGGAACCCTAAATATTAGGTGCCGTATTATAATCAGGACCCAAAAATAAGGGACCATAATTTTGACAACCACCCATGTAGTTTCATGCACGCGGGAAACTCCCACCACCTCGACCCACCACTTGAATGGCACGCCGAGCCCCAAAGCCAAGCGCCACATGGCTCACAAGCGGGCTGTTCAAAATCTCGTTCGCTGTGGTTTAGGGTTGAGGGTTTAGCCTCGAGGGGTTAGGGGTTTAGGGGTTTAGGGGTTCAGAGTTTTAGGGCATGAAGTAGCCGAAGCAGAACACAACCTGTCAGCTGGGGCCGCGGCTGCCCATCCCCGTCCTCTCGGGCTCAGGGCTTGGATTTAAATGATTTTGTATGGGTGGTTGTCAAAATTCTGGTTCCTTTCTGGGTACACGAAAGAATAGGTGCCGCATTAGATTAAGGAACCAAAAAGGGACCCCTAATTTTGACAACCACCCATCATGGTCTCAACGAAGGCTCTTCGTTGAGGCTTTGGGGCAAAGGGGCCCCCGAGCTTAAGGCTTAACCTTCATACGTAGCTTCAGAAAGCCTCGCGTTCAGGAGATTTGGACCTTGGTGACTACCGGGGCTTGGGGGTAGGTTATTTCTTTAGCTGCTGCTCTTTCCATCCTAGCCTCAGTGCCTAAATGCTTTTGGAAGAGGATGGGTTGTCCTACGATGAACGGATCCACCGAATCCCACGATTATACGGGAGTTCCGAAAATAGGGGATCCTAATTTAGCGCCCTAAATAATGGGATCCTTATTATAGGGACCCCAAGATGAGGTACCCCTAATTTTTGCGTCCCACTCTTATGCCTGACCCCTACGAGGGTCGAGTTTTGGGTGCCGGGTGGAGGCCTCGGCCCTGGCGACCCGGCCCCCAAAAGTCACCGATTTTTGTTTTGGGGTCTGACGGTTTTTGAGTTTAGGGCCTTTTTTTTGAGGGCTCTTTTTCCGACTGCCGAACAGCCAGAATTCCTTACCAGGATGAGTTTAGGGTTTGGGGGTTAAGGGTTTAGAGCTTAGAGCTACCGCCCGAGACCGCCTTGAGCACACTAGACACCAAACCCCTCGATAATTGTTTGCACTGTAGCTTCCTGTAACCCCAAAATCCCACTTCGGAAAGGGAAAGATATCGGAACATCGTTTTAACGGAGGCAGAAAAAGCTCTTGGCGCCACTATACTTGGAGGATCATGGGACTTAGTAAGTAAGGTTAGAAGTACCCTAATCGGGGTTATAAGTAGTTATAAGTACCATTACCTTAATAATAACTCCAGTTACTAAGTCCCACGATCCTTGAAGTAGCCCCTAAACCCTAAACCCTATAGATCCCATTATACGGAACCCTATAGATCCCTTTAAGGAACCCTATAGCCCCTGTAGCTGCTACGTCCTGGCCTGGTCGTAGATGCGGAAGACCGCCCAGCAGACCTCTTCTCTCGCGTAGACCTGTCGGTGTCGGTCTTTGATTCTTTTTCCTTTTTTAGGGTTTAGGGTTCGGTCTTTGGTTCAGGCTTCGGGGATTTGCAGCTTAGGGCAAAGAACTCAAGACTTCAAGGCTTTGGGCTTGGTTTGGGTTTAGCCGCAGTGTGGGCTAGGGATTCAGGGCCTAGGGCTTCAGAGTGTGGGGCTTGAAGGTCTTCTTGAAGGGGTGAGGGCAAAGGTGAAGAACGATAGAATCCCGGATTTTGCATTCGGAGCTCCGTGCTTGGTATTCCAGGAGCGATCTCAGTATTCGAACACACAGCCCGCACCTAGTACAGGGGCCTGAGAAAAAGCAAAAGGGTTTCAGGGGTCCTGTATAAGGTATATGCAGACTATAACGGATAATCTTAATTACGAACTATTCAGGCGTCTACATTGACCCGAGACCCGCACGCATCTGGCATCTACTCATGAGAAACAATCCCAAAAAAGGTAGCTTCACACGTTCGACAGTACAGACAAAGCCGAGGTGGTGGATCTGGACGTAGGACTTTGGCAGTATAAGTTCTAGATAACTACTTATCTTATCACTCGGGTTTCTGAATGTCAACAACATGCCCCAAAACACGGTTAGAAACGATAAAGCCCTGTCAAAAGTAGGGTCCCTTTTGGGTCCTTGTTACAATACGGCACCTGTTGTTTAGGGTACCCAAAAAGGGACCCTAATTTTGACAACCACCCAAATGTTACTTAGTTTCGATGGGGACCTAAGGAACTCGGGTTTGCCGTTCAACCTCGGAGCTCCGCTGAAGCCGAAAGCCGTGGGTTCACTTAGGGATTTAGGGTTTAGGGTTGGGGGTTTGGGGTTGGGTTCACGGGTAGGGAGGCTTTCTGTTGATTTTTTGTCAGTCCTTTCCTGTCTGCTTCTGTCGACACCAGACTTGCCAACTATACCTGGCCATCCCCCCTTCTTGAACCTTGCGCTAAAACCTAGAAGCCACCTTACCCCCGTACCCAAAACTTCAATCCCCCCCCTCCATTCCCGGTGATCTGGTTCTAGATGCCTGCAGGTCCAACACCGAGGCCACAAACCTGGACTCGGGAGGCTGGCTGTCGATGCTTGTGTGCTGCGGCTTCTTGGGTTGAGGGCTGAGGGGCGTTGGGTTTAAGGTGTACTATAGGGGCCTTAATAATTCGAATAGGGTTTTGGGGCCCATTATACTATAACTGTAATAAGGAGCCCCCAAAACAGTATAGGAATTATTTAGGCCCCTATATTACGTAGGAGCTTCAAGTTCAGGGACCATGCTGCTTAGTCTCGCACAAACTGGTTGGAGGTGCTTGAGGCCAGGTACACCCCAAACAACTCTTGCGTGGTTGTCAAAATTATGGCCCCTCTTTGGGTCCTGATTATAATACGGCACCTAATATTTAGTGTACCCAAAAAGGGATCCTAAACCCTAAACCCTAAACCCAAAAAGGGATCCCAAACCCTAAACCCTAAACCCTAAAAGGAACCCTGATTTTGACAATCACTCTAACGCAGGAGCCTCTAGGAGCTTAGGATACACGAATCCGATTAAGGAACTCTAAGGTCTACCATTGCTAGTTTTACGACTTTTGCATTAAACCCTAAGCCCTGAACCCTAAACCCTGAACCCTAAACCCTGAACCCTAAACCTAAACTAAACCCTAAACCCCGAACCCTAAACCCTAAAGCCTGAACTGCCCAAGAAGTAGCTCGAGACCTGATCTGACAGGTTGGGCAGCCCCTGAGTTCGAGGCTCGCCGAGACCGATTTCGCCACTTCCATCGGCATCCAAACTGGACACCTGTGGCTCGGGGGGTTGAAGTTGGGGTTTAGGGTTTAGGGTTTAAGGTTTACGGTTTAGGGTTTAGGGTTGGGTAGTCTCGGGGCCTTAATGATTAGAATAGGGTTTGGGGGTATAGTATACTATTACTTATCATAACGAACCCCCAAAATAGTATAGGTAATTATGAAGGCCTTATATCACCGCCCCCCGGACACATAATTCGATTATGCACACAATAAGTAGCGTTTTGCAGGTTCATGGCTTTGGGGGGTCGCGAACCCCGCCTTACCTATCCTGTGCCATACCATATGTATGTATGTATACATGCATGCATGTATGCACGTATGCATGTACCGCGAAACGGTCCTCAAGTTTAGGACGATCTTCAGATCTTTCCTGCGGCGTCGTCAAGATTTACCCGATACACCGCGAGACCTCAACGCCAAATTGCAGCAACCCCAAACCCCCCCTTTAAAGCCCCTCAAACTTCTTGAAACCCCCTAGAAACTGCCTTGAAACCCCCAAAACCCCTCCCCCTCCCTTCCCAAGCTAGGATCCGGGCCATTTCGTGCAAGTCTTCTGGCATCTCCACCTGAGGGCTTCAAGCAGAGGTAGGGGCTTAGGGGCTAGGGGTTGACGGGTTAGGGTTTAGGGTTTAGGGCTGAGGGTTTGGGGTTTAGGGGTTTAGGGGTTTAGGGTTTAGGGTTGAGGGTTTAGGGTTTAGGGTTTAGGGTTTAGGGCTGAGGGTTTGGGGTTTAGGGGTTTAGGGGTTTAGGGTTTAGGGTTGAGGGTTTAGGGTTTAGGGTTTAGGGTTTAGGGTTTAGGGCTGAGGGTTTGGGGTTTAGGGGTTTAGGGGTTTAGGGTTTAGGGTTTAGGGCTGAGGGTTTGGGGTTTAGGGGTTTAGGGTTTAGGGTTTAGGGCTGAGGGTTTGGGGTTTAGGGGTTTAGGGGTTTAGGGTTTAGGGTTCAGCTTCTCTGACTTTGGAAATTTCGAGTCAAGCTATTTCAAGTCAAAACCCCACCCGCCCAAAGGTTCCCCTCACATTATGAAATAACAACCTTTATTTTATATTCGGATTGAATACCATTCTTCTTCGAAACTTTTTTCAATATACTTTAAACCCTAGGCCCTAAACGTAAGGCCCTAAACCCTAGGCCGTAAACCTAAGGCCTCAAACCCTAGGCCCTAAACCTAAGGCCCCAAACCCTAGGCCCTAAACCTAAGGCCCTAAAGGCCCTAAACGTAAGGCCCTAGACCCTAAGCCCTAAAGACAGATTCCCAAGAGAGCTAGTTAAGAAAGAAAGCATCGCCCGAACCAGCTGAAGGTGCGGTCACGCCATCGCTTTACGATAGCAACCATAGCTGTCCAATGTCATGGCTTGAATCTCCTCAACTGTCGATCCACAACAAAGCAAGGCCCACCGAATGTTCACCCTTCAGAGACACTAAACTCTAAGAAAACTGTGTTGTTCTTGTCGATGGATAAGAAAGCAGCATTGCCCAAACCAGCTGAAGCTGCGGTCACGACATCGCTTTACGATAGCAACCACAGCTATCGAATTCGATTTCATGTCTTTCAATGTTTCCACATCGGACTGTGTCCACTGCTATGCATCGACTATAGAAGGCTTTGCCTCAATCAACCGAGGCGGCACTCACGCCATCGCTTTACGATAGCAACTACAGCTATCGAATTCGATTTCATGTCTTTCAATGTTTCCACATCGGACTGCGTCCACTGCTATGCATCGACTTAAACACTGGGGTAGCCGTACAAGCTAGATGTTTTGACCCCTCGAGGGGCCCAGCTTTAGAAGACACATGTTTTGAGCTCTGAAGAAGCAAGCCGTACAAGCTAGATGTTATGACCTTTCGAGGGCCCAGCTTTAGAAGACACATGTTTTGAGCTTTGAAGAAGCTAGCCGTACAAGCTAGATGCTTTGACCCCTCGAGGGGCCCAGCTTTAGAGGACAGAAGTTTTGAGCTTTGAAGAAGCTAGCCGTACAAGCTAGATGTTTTGACCCCTCGAGGGGCCCAGCTTTAGAAGACAGAAGTTTTGAGCTTTGAAGAAGCTAGCCGTACAAGCTAGATGTTTTGACCCCTCGAGGGGCCCAGCTTTAGAAGACACATGTTTTGAGCTTTGAAGAAGCTAGCCGTACAAGCTAGATGTTTTGACCCCTCGAGGGGCCCAGCTTTAGAAGACACATGTTTTGAGCTTTGAAGAAGCTAGCCGTGCAAGCTAGATGTTTTGACCTTTCGAGGGGCCCAGCTTTAGAATCTTAGAAGACACATGTTTTGAGCTTTGAAAAGGCTAGCCGTGCAAGCTAGATGCTTTGACCCCTCGAGGGGCCAAGGGTTTAGGCCTAAATCTAGGGCCAAGGGTTTAGGCCCTAAATCTCGGGCCAAGGGTTTAGGCCCTAAATCTCGGGCCAAGGGTTTAGGCCCTAAATCTCGGGCCAAGGGTTTAGGCCCAAATCTCGGGCCAAGGGTTTAGGCCCTAAATCTCGGGCCAAGGGTTTAGGCCCTAAATCTCGGGCCAAGGGTTTAGGCCCTAAATCTCGGGCCAAGGGTTTAGGCCCTAAATCTCGGGCCAAGGGTTTAGGCCCTAAATCTCGGGCCAAGGGTTTAGGCCCTAAATCTCGGGCCAAGGGTTTAGGCCCTAAATCTCGGGCCAAGGGTTTAGGCCCTAAATCTCGGGCCAAGGGTTTAGGCCCTAAATCTCGGGCCAAGGGTTTAGGCCCTAAATCTCGGGCCAAGGGTTTAGGCCCTAAATCTCGGGCCAAGGGTTTAGGCCCTAAATCTCGGGCCAAGGGTTTAGGCCCTAAATCTCGGGCCAAGGGTTTAGGCCCTAAATCTCGGGCCAAGGGTTTAGGCCCTAAATCTCGGGCCAAGGGTTTAGGCCCTAAATCTCGGGCCAAGGGTTTAGGCCCTAAATCTCGGGCCAAGGGTTTAGGCCCTAAATCTCGGGCCAAGGGTTTAGGCCCTAAATCTCGGGCCAAGGGTTTAGGCCCTAAATCTCGGGCCAAGGGTTTAGGCCCTAAATCTCGGGCCAAGGGTTTAGGCCCTAAATCTCGGGCCAAGGGTTTGGCCACGAAGATTGATGATGCGGCCACGAAGATTGATGATGCGGCCACGAAGATTGATGATGCGGCCACGAAGATTGATGATGCGGCCACGAAGATTGATGAAAAAACCGCCCTAAATCTCGGACGAACGGTTTAGGGCCCTAAACCCTTCGCCCTAAATCTCGGACGAACGGTCCCTAAATCTGGGGGTACGGTTTAGGGCCGCCCTAAATCTCGGACGAACGGTTTAGGGCCACGAAGATTGATGATGCGGCCACGAAGATTGATGAAGTTGATCAGCTGAAAACGTCAGGCGGCCACGAAGCCATTAAGGTTTAAATTACTATAGGTAGAGAGGTTTAGGGCTGAGGGTTTGGGGTTTAGGGGTTTAGGGTTTAGGGTTTAGGGCTGAGGGTTTGGGGTTTAGGGGTTTAGGGGTTTAGGGTTTAGGGTTTAGGGCTGAGGGTTTGGGGTTTAGGGGTTTAGGGTTTAGGGTTTAGGGCTGAGGGTTTGGGGTTTAGGGGTTTAGGGGTTTAGGGTTTAGGGGCTGAGGGTTTAAATGAGGGAGACCCTAATATGGAACTACAAACGTTAAGGTTTAGGGCTTAGGTGTTGAGTCATATACGAACCCCTGAGACAAGGACCGAAAAAAAGCCTTACCTGTAAACCCTAAACCCTTCTGAAACCCCCACCTCCGTCCAGCCGGCTCGCTTCATGCCTGGTGCAGGGTTCTGGGCTCAGTGTTTCCTTTTGCGGCGCCTCGGTTTAGGGGCCTTAATGATTAGAATAAGGTTCCTTTGAAGGGGCCTATAAGGGCTACTATGAGGGATCTGTAAGGGTTCTGTAATGTAGGGGCCTTAATGATTTGGGGTATGTTATACTATACTTATAATAAGGAACCACCAAAAATAGTATTGGCAATTGTTTGGGCCCCTATATTGGTTTAGGGTAGGGCGAGGTTGTGGGCTTGTGGGGTTTGGGGGTCTCTTGGGCTATGGCTTTTTGTAACCAAGATATCCGTGCCATGCCACATTCTGAGTTTGGGAGAACCCTGTCAAGCGCAGCAACACAAGCCAGAACACTTGCCCAGGGCTCCTGTTGGGCACCTTGTCCCGAAAGCTCCCATAGAGGAGGAATTAGCATAAAACCTGAAACCTCAATGCCCTAAAGCCTTACCCTGCTTTGCTGTGGGAAGAAGGCGCAATACTACATCGTGTCCGATAGATGGGTACCAAAACCCCTGACCCCGAAAACCAAAACTCTGATCCCCAAACCCGAAAACCTGAAACCCCCCAACCCTGAACCACTTAACGCCAAAACTCCGTAAACCGTACCAGCCCGGAACCCTGAAACCCGAAAGCCCAACAACTAGAATACGGTTTTGGAGCCCAGTATAGTATAAACTTAAAGCATAATAAGGAGCCCGCAAAATAGTATAGCTAATTGTTATGGCCCCCTAAAGTACACAAAATGAATCCCAGGATCCCACAGAAAACTGGAGCCCCCAAAAAAGTATAGGCAAGAATGAAGGCCCCTGTAGTACACAAAATGAACCCCAGGATCCCACAGAGAACTGCCGCCTGCTTCGATCTCATCGGCATCGATGTGGCCTTCGCCCGAGGAGTCGAGCCTGCTCTCTACGTCTTTTTAGGGTTTAGGGCTTAGGGTTTAGGGTTTAGGGGTTAGGGTTTAGGGTTTAGGGTTTAGGGGTTAGGGTTTAGGATTTAGGGTTTAGGGTTTAGGGTCTAGGGTTTAGGGTTTAGGGTTTAGGGTCTAGGGTGTGTAGACAGTATGCGCGCGGTGGGTGCGCCTTTTACTTTAGGAATAGGGGGCGCACCCACTAATCGCGCGCTTGCGTCAGCATGTAGTCCCGCCCCAACCACCCCAACTATTCTCAATTAGGGTTTAGGGTTCACCCCCCAAACCCCCCTCAAGGGGGGCTTTCTTGCTCTCTGCTTCCTTTCGTAGCTTGGCAGGAAAGCAACAATATTTCTCCAGAAATCACAGCTGAAATGGATTGCTGTCGGGTTGTGGGACCTCGCGGCCTGTGCCGGCCGCTCGACGAAAAGCAAGGGTTTCCAACAAACAACTTGGTTCTCGCGCCCTGTAAGGGGTGCTCGAAGTGTGAACAAGGCGGGGCAAGAGGGTCAGGGCAGAGAACAGGGCGCAACGCAGGCAGGCAGGGCAGCGCCAGGGCAGGGCAGGGCAGGGCAGGGCAGAGCGGGCAGGGAAGGGCAGGGCAAGGCAGGGCAGGGCAGAGGGCAGGAGGGCAGGGCAGGGCAGGGCAGGGCAGGGCAGGCTCGGCAGTTTAGGGTTTAGGGTTTAGGGTTTCTAGGGCACGGGAAACCTTACAAATGACGAGTATGACACAGTTGCCTGAGTGATTCGAGATACAATTAAGGTGCCTATGTTCGGGTCTAGGCCTTAGGAGTTCAGGGACGGCACTAGTCGAGTGATCCTTCATCCTCCTGCTCCCCTTCTGCCTTCTCCCACTGCGACGGCAACATGAACCCCACCACCAACAACAACAGTAGCAACAACACCACTACGTCGGCTCTGAGTTAACGCATCATTACACAGAGCTGACCGCTGTAGTAGTTTGGCCGGCCAAAGCCTCTTGTTAGCATCTTGCAAGCTTGACGTCCTCAGGATGCTGGTCTCACACTCAACATATATAGTATACTATAAGTATAATAAGGAACCCCCCACAATAGTATTGGTATTTTTTAGGCCCCTGTATTACGAAATCTCAAGGAGCTCCACCAAGCAGACCCTCATCTGGTCACGAACTCCAACGCCCCGAACTCCAAAACCAACGAACCCCAACATCTTAAAAAACCCTCCACTCACCCCAACGATCCCTGGACTCCACTCCAAACAAAAAGACAAAACATGAGCCATGCTAAAACTTCGCCCCTAGGCCCTAAACTTTGACGCGAAACCCTAAACCCCAAACCTACACACTAAACCCACTAAACCCTAAACCCTAAACTCCAAACACCAAACCCTAAACCCCGCATCCTAAACCCCCAAAGCCTAAACCTTCTCTTCGGGCGAGTGCCCGACCACATGAAGGTGTCGATCAAAGGCTTCAGGATCTCAGGCTCGAGCCTGGAAACGGATTTTTCAGCAGCTTACTTAAAGGGTCATGGGACTTAGGAACCGGGGTTTGTATTAGGGTAACTATACTTATAACCCCAATTAGGGTACGTAAAACCTTACTTACTACGTCCCATGATCCTCCAAGTGGTGCTTAGGGCGACGTGTAGGTGGACGTTTACCCTCGGACATGCCGTTTGCAACCTCCGTAGCCCTGTTACAGGCAGCTTGGTCCGGGCAAGAGAATCCTACTAAGAAAGCCGACTTTAGGCCGCAGTTAGGATCCTTCTTCTTTTTGAAGGGGGTGGCATTTACAATAAGGGCCCTGCTGTGTAGGATCTTCATGAAGGATGCGCAAGGTCCGCAACACCCATGCAAGTGTAGGCTTGGGTTGAGGCCGTGGGTTTTGTTCTATTCTTGGTTTGGGGATCGGAGTTCAAGGACTGTGGTTTAGAATATAAGGGTTGAGGTTTCCAGAGGGACTTGCTTTGCCGTGGCTAATCAGCATAGGCCAAGAAACCGATTATAAAGGCCCCTACGGCTAGTACCATATACCCATCAGGACGAAGTTATGCAAATCTACCATACCTCCGGCGGATGTGGATCCGAAGAAGCCATGCAAAAGTCACAGCAAAAACAATATTCAATCCTAGTGTGATACCCGGCTAAACACAAGAGATACAAGGCTCAATGCTGGGGCCCAGGAAGAGAGACAGAGTAAGCCTCGCATGCTACGGCCGGAGGGAGAGAGAGAGGGAGAGAGAGAGAGAGAGAGAGAGAGAGAGAAAGAGAAGCTTATGCTGCACCAATCCTACGCGTGTTTGCGACTTGGCGATACCGCAACCGCGAGCTACCGTAGGCTACGTTTCTCTGCTTGATGTCGGGCCTTGCTGCCAAGCTACACAAGCGTATCTTAGGATTACACGGTTTAGGGCTTAAGCTCATACCGTCATACCACTTGGGGTGTAGATCAGTGTTCGTGTTTAAGACTATACATTTCTACTACTTAGGGTGTAGGGCTCTAGGGCTTAGGGTCCACCCTAAACCTTAAACCCTGAAACCCCCAAACCTGCAGATAAAGCCAGCTTGAGAGTCCCACTGGGAGACGATGATCTGCAGGCTGGCCTGCTTGAACTTGTTGAACCTGGCACAACAGGGGTGGCTTTCAAAATTAGGGTCCCTTTGGGGGTCCTTACTACAATACGGCACCTGATATTTAGGGCACCCCAAAAGGGGCCATAGTTTTGACAGCTCCCCATATGAGGTTCAAGTTTTAGGGGCCTAGGGGGTTTGGGGTTAGGGGTTTAGGGGGTTGGGGTTCGGAGATTTGGTTCAGGGTTTAGGGTTTAGGGTTGAGGGTATAGGGGCTTGGGGGTTAGGGGTTTAGGGGGTTTGGGGTTCGGAGTTTGGGTTTAGGGTTTAGGGTTGAGGGTATAGGGGCTTGGGGGTTAGGGGTTTAGGGGGTTTGGGGTTCGGAGTTTGGGTTTAGGGTTTAGGGTTGAGGGTATAGGGGCTTGGGGGTTAGGGGTTTAGGGGGTTTGGGGTTCGGAGTTTGGGTTTAGGGTTTAGGGTTGAGGGTATAGGGGCTTGGGGGTTAGGGGTTTAGGGGGTTTGGGGTTCGGAGTTTTGGTTAGGGTTTAGGGTTTAGGGTTGAGGGTATAGGGGCTTGGGGGTTAGGGGTTTAGGGGGTTTGGGGTTCGGAGTTTGGGTTTAGGGTTTAGGGTTTGGGGTTGAGGGTATAGGGGCTTGGGGGTTAGGGGTTTAGGGGGTTTGGGGTTCGGAGTTTTGGTTCAGGGTTTAGGGTTTAGGGTTGAGGGTATAGGGGCTTGGGGGTTAGGGGTTTAGGGGGTTTGGGGTTCGGAGTTTGGGTTTAGGGTTTAGGGTTGAGGGTATAGGGGCTTGGGGGTTAGGGGTTTAGGGGGTTTGGGGTTCGGAGTTTGGGTTTAGGGTTTAGGGTTTAGGGTTGAGGGTATAGGGGCTTGGGGGTTAGGGGTTTAGGGGGTTTGGGGTTCGGAGTTTGGGTTTAGGGTTTAGGGTTTGGGGTTGAGGGTATAGGGGCTTGGGGGTTAGGGGTTTAGGGGGTTTGGGGTTCGGAGTTTTGGTTCAGGGTTTAGGGTTTAGGGTTGAGGGTATAGGGGCTTGGGGGTTAGGGGTTTAGGGGGTTTGCGGTTCGGAGTTTGGGTTTAGGGTTTAGGGTTGAGGGTTTAGACCTTAGCACTGCGCTCTGATATGAGCCTTTGGGGCTTAGGGCCTTCGTTGCCTGTGCTTTGGGTTCAGGGTTTAGGATCTACTTGGAGGATCATGGACTTAGTAAGTAAGGTTATAAATACTTCATTTGGGGTTATAAGTATAGTTACCCTAATAATAACTCTAGTTACTTTGTCCCAGGACCCTTGAAGTAGGTTCTCCGGTATCCCCTTCATGACAAGGGTACCCGTTTACCCCGTTATTCAGCTTCAGTGCGGGAACCCAAAAAAGCAACAAGGGCAAAAGGGCACTCGTGGGGAACCTAAGGATCTAGGGTTTAAGGTGTGGAAGTTAAAGCCGTAAGCTTAATCGTTGCGGAGCCATTGGGCTCGAAGCTGCGGGGTTGTGGCTGCGGGAGTTCTCTTTACTTTGCCTCCAAACCTTAATTAAGCCCGAAACCCTAAACCCTAAAACTCTGCGATGTGGCGTCGAGCTAAACTGGCTCGAAGCTTCTTGTGCTTCTTGGTTTAAGCCTCGGACGTAGAATCGCCTCCTTCTCACTTTGCCTGGTCCCCCTGTGCTGCCAAGACTGCCACGAACAGGTCAGTGTCTGTCTCACGTGTGTCTTTGTTCACGAGGGGCTGATTTTGACCGTGGCCAGGCGTCGAAGCACCCTAAACCCTAAACCCTAAACCCACTGCCCTTGCCATGGCCTGAGCGTTGGCCTTCTTAGCCTGAGAGACCCTGTTCATCCGCCACGTTCGAAGGTGAAGGCCGGCGAGCGTACCACGGAGATGGCCGTAGCCCAAGCACGGGGCAAATCGGCCTCGACCGTTTCCAGAAATCGCTACGGTCCCCAACACCAAAATAACCCTAAACCCTCAACCCTGGATATCAGGTCTGGGGTGCTCGCAAGCCCGGACCCTATCTGCATCCTGAAGTGATGGGACACGGACAAGGGAGGGAAGGACAGGGTATTATAGTATATCTTCACCAAGACAAAGAAGGAACCGAAAGCTGCCTCCTTTCAATAGGCAGTCTAGGGTTTAGGGTTTAGGGTTTAGGGTTTAGGGTTCGTCCATACACGGGGCCCCGACTCAGACTTTATGGTTGTTACGGGAAGGCATTCCTTCTTTTTCGGATTTCTCACCTACTGCACGGTCCTCCTCTAAACCGTAAATACTACACCCTAAGCCCTAAATCCTGATTCAACACAGGCAGCGCGCGAGCAGTACTTCCTCATGTTCTCGAAGTATCTGGCAGGGGGAGGGGCGTCAGGCAGGGTTCCGGCTTTGGCATATGAGTCATCTCAGAAGAGCTCCTAGAAGACACCATGGAGTCCCCTAGCGCCTCAACCCAGTGAACCCCGAACCTACGCAAACTCTAACAACCCAGCCTTCATTTAAAAATCAACTGCTGCACTACTGCTGTTACTCCACCTCGTCTTCCTATTGCCGCTACGACGACCGGCGGCACAAGACGTCCTTTCAACTTGTAGCACCATGGCAAAAACCGTTGATCACCATGACGCTGCGGGTGGAACCGGCAGTGCCAGTGACTACTTGGAGGGTCGGGGGACTTAGTAACTTGTTATTTTGGGGACGTATAAGTACCGTAACCCCAATTAGGGTCCCTTTTTAGGATACTTATAAGTCTACTTACTACCTCCTTACTGAGTCCCCCGACCCTCCAAGTACGGTGATGATGCTGACTCGCAGTCAGAGGTTTCCCCTGCTCCCCCCTCTCCCCTTCGCTTCCTTTCTTCTCGGTCCCTTCTCGTGCCTCTGCTGAGAATATCAGTAGTAGTGACACTTAGAAGAACTGCAAGAAACTCCATACTAATCATGTAAATCATCATCGTCGTTGTCATCACCGCTGTTGTAAAAACGATAACACTCACATTCCATCACAGTAACAATGACAATAGCGATAACACTAATACCAATACCAAAAACGAAACAAACAACAATAACGATAACAACGACAGTAACAGTGACAACAATAATCTTAGTAACACTAAGTGCAATACGACATTCATTATCAATACTGTTGATGGGCAAAAACCTGCATTACCTTAAGGACCCTAAACTATGGGAATTATGGTATATCCCTTATTATTGGGTCATGCAGGATTTTGCCCATCAACAGTATTGCCGCTACGACGACGGCGGCACAAGACGTCCTGTCAACTTGTAGCGCCAAAACCGTTGATCAACATGACGCTGCGACTAAAAGCCGGCAGTGCCAGTGACTACTTCAAGGATCATGAGACTTAGTAACTAGAGTTAGAGTTAATATTAGGGTAACTATACTTATAACCCCAATTGGGGTACTTATAACCTTACTTACTAAGTCCCATGATCCTCCAAGTACGGTGATGATGCTGACCCGCAGTCAGAGGTTTCCCCTGCTCCCCCCTCTCCCCTTCGCTTCCTTTCTTCTCCGTCCCTTCTCGTGCCTCTGCTGAGAATAACAGTAGTAGTGATACTTAGAAGAACTGCAAGAAACTCCATACTAATCATGTAAATCATCATCGTCGTTGTCATCACCGCTGTTGTAAAAACGATAACACTCACAATCCATCACAGTAACGGTGACAATAGCGATAACGCTAATACCAATACCAAAAACAAAACAAACAACAATAACGATAACAACGACGGTAACAGTGACAACAATAATCTTAGTAACACTAAGTGCAATACGACATTCATTATCAATACTGTTGATGGGCAAAAACCTGCATTACCTTAAGGGCCCTAAACTATGGGAATTATGGTATATTCCTTATTATGGGTCATGCAGGGTTTATATCATCCTAAACCCTAGACCCTAAAAACCTTATAGATCCCTTAAAGGTACCCTTATAGCTCCCTTTAAAGGAACCCCATAATCCTAAACCCTAAACCAATAACTTGTTCTTAAGACTCAAACCCGAGAGTAGCCCTGATCCAACAAGACGACACGAAGTGTGTGGTAGTAGCAGTAGTAGTAGTAGTAGTAGTAGTAGTAGTTGTAGTCGTCGTAGTAGTAGTCGTAGTAGTACAATAAAGGCCTTCTTTGGGAACCCCTCCTAATCCCGAACCATTGATTCTGCCGCATAACATATAATATGTACAACATGGAATATGTAACATAATACACAACTCATAATAACATGCAACATTAAACACGATTCGATTGCAAACGTCGCTGGGGCGACTTTTGCTTCAGCGGCGCGCGAAGAACGGGTGCCTTGGAAGTTGGAAGCTGGGAGCGCTCTCAAGCTTCTTAGCAGGTTTACCGAAGTTCTTCCATGAGGGCTCTAAACGAGTTTGAAAGCCTGTGAAAGTTCTAGCAGGCCGTTATGACAAAACAAGTCAAAGCTCAATGGGTCTAACTGGTTTTGGCAGCGCTCTAAAACCAAATATGAATCTCAATATACGTATGTATATATAGATATAGCCTTGGAGGCTGTTTAGGATGTTTAGGATTTTGGAGTTACGATTTTGCAGGGTGTGGGTTTAGAGTTGTGGGGATGCGGTGAGTTTGGGGGTTTGGAGGTGTTGGGATCGGGGCTTTGGGGTTTGGGTTTCGGGCCCATGGACGACGTCCGAAGGCCTCGCAAAGGGTTTAGGGTTTAAGGGTTTACGGTTTAGGATTTAGGGTTTAGGGTTTAGGGTTTGGGGTTTAGGGTATAGGGCTTGGGTGCTACGGTGTTCCAGATAAGGCACCGGTTTCGTTTTTCGCATATTAAGGCGTCCTAACCAAAAAGGTTCTTTAGTTTTAGGGTCTGCGTTAGGGCTAACCCGTATAGAGAGGCGCTGCAACATGGAACTCCAGCAGACCAAACCTGGAACCCCCTAAACGCAAAGCCCTCAAGACCTTACGCCGGACAACCAGAGGGCCAGACTGTCTGCACGATCCAGGTGTCGAACAGAGCCTGGCCAGGAGCCGGGTGGCGTGTGTTTCAATGCTTCTATCTCCTCATCCAACACTGCTGTCAGTGCAACTGTCTTCCCACTTGGCAGACCGAGCAACTGACACACTACCGTTGAGAACCTTGCAACCTCAAAGCCCTGAACCATAGACCTACGGACTTTCATGGCCTTGGGCGGTGTGGAAAGCTCAGGGTTTAACAATTGGGGTGTTGGGGTCGAGGGATCAGGGCTTCTCAGGGTGATAGGCCTTGGGTTTGATTGTTGCAAGGTCGAGGGTTCGGGGCTGGGACCCCGACTGAGAAAGAGAGCTAGTCGACGTACATACATACATGCATACATGCATCCATACATATGTGCTTTCATGCTCAGCTGCTTTCATGCATACATGCTTACATGTGATCATATATACCTGCGTGTATGCATGTGCTGATGTATACACGTGTGCATACCATGTGAACACATGCTTCTGTTGTAGCAAATTGTTCTTGATGCGTTGTGCTACTGTGGGCAGTGCACTATGCGTTGCTGCACACATCTCCATCAGACGTTCTAGAGCATCAGAGCTACTACAACTCACGCAAATATTTTAAAAAAGCATCACACAAAGCTCTGATTAAAACACTTTACCAAACTCCATGTTACGCTCCTCACAGTTACAGCGTATTTCGTTCTGTCCTGCATGCGGACAAATGAGATGCGTATGTCTGTGTGTATGTATACAGACACATGTTTTATTTATAACTAGTGTGTGTGTGTGTGTGTATATATATACACGCATACAAACACGATGATCAATCTGGGTATCATGTATTCATGGAGTTGTGTATCTCCTGAATTTGTGTGTTTAGTTGTGTTGTATGAACAGCTTAACTACTCTACATACTGCAGTAAATAACAGCAGCCCCTTGTATGCCAAGTTGTAAGTACTATGCTACACCATAGTGAAGGATTCTACCACCCAAGTCGCAGTTGGTATATACACCACACGGCACCACGCTGTACCGAAAAACTCGGTATGATGTGGTAGTTTACATCATACTCTGGTAGTACTTCATGCGGCAGCATGCTGAGTGGTGCAACACGATTTCATCGGACACCCCAAGGAGAGCCTGCTTGGCGGTGATCCGCTCCACCTCGCTCATGCGCAGCAGGCCACGGATGAGATCCTGGTGGCTGGCACGCTACAACCATTTGCTTCGGGGAATTGGTCTCAGTTGCACGGTTTGAGTTTGAGTCAGGATGCGGGTGTGAAGTGTAAGAGCGCGGTCGAGGGTTTAGGGCAACAAACTTCAACAGGTTATGTAGGGCGTAGGCCATCCTTGCACAAACTCGGTCAACAATCTCCAACTCCACCCTCTCACTCCGTCTCTCCTTGCAAAAAGCCAATCCAGAGGTACTGCCAGGGCCTAAAACCCGGAAACTTCAATCCCTAAGCCCTTTTCCCGAACGGCTGAAATGCTACTATATTGCCGGAAAAGGCTGGAAAGGGTTTCGGGGTTCTGGTATACTACAAATATCTGTTCCAGGTACCCTCAGGGATACAATAAGACCCCTATATTGCAGAGCCCTATTAAATTCTAGATCCCTCAAGTTACAAATCCCTTGAAGAACCCCTGATCGAAACATACCGGAACCCCACTCTCATCAATAAGGCCCCTACACTAATTGCCTCCAAACGGTTTTAGGGTTTAGGGTTATAAACCCCAAACCCAAAAACCCAAAACCCCGACGCCCAGGAATAGCATTCTGAATGTGGATGGCCCCTGCTGCCCCCATGGATGGCTAGAGTCCTTGGCCAGCTCCGTCACGTGCCGCCAGTCTGCATCATTGAAGCTAAACCTTTCTCATCCCACTCTCTTCAGGGTTGAAGGTTTGGAGTTTCGAGTGTTGAGTTCAGGCTTTAGGGTCTGGGGTCTATCAAAACCACTCACCAATGTGATCTAAGTCGCGATGGGAACCATCGCCATCCTGATCACCATCGTCATAACCATCACAACGAGCCACCACATCATCGGAATCATCGGCACCGTTGTATTGCTGTAGCGATTGCGGGCTTCCTAGATTTTGCGCGTGGATTCTAAAACCCAGTGCTTGCCAAGCGTCTCCGAAGCCTGAAACATGACAACTCGGGTATCTCCCGTCATACTTGTTCGGCTTCTTGCTGGGGTTTGGGGTCGAGGGCATTCGGGTTTGTACACTCTAGAGAAACAGAACTCAATTAGTTCCCAGGAAAATCTCAGTCGCCCTGGGCCCTCATCGAAACAGAAAATCCTGCAGCGTTGGAGCTCAGTGTACCGGTTCGCTTTTGACGGTTCCAAAGACTTGTGAAGCAAAGGCGCATCCCACCACGCACGCGAGTCAAGATCTCCGCCTTAGTTCGAGGAGATGTGGATGTCTGGTCTCCTAAATAGTATGATCCTTATTATAAGGACCCCAAACTAAGGTACCCCTCATTTTCGGAAACTCCCATGTACTCTGTGTCTTTGAGATGACTGCATGGCTACCGCAACAGCAGTACGAAGCCGAACTATCTTCGACTTCTATGCAGATGTGCACAGACAGACAAACTTACCTTTGGTTAGTAGGGAATGGAAGAATGGTAGCAATAGTAGTTATAATTGTACCCCATTCCTCCATTCCCTACTAACCAAAGGTAAGACAAACGGATAGGGTTTAGGGTTTAGGGTTTAGGGGGCCGAACAGATGTCCTAGGATACCCAGTAACCTACGAAAAAAAGGCTTCTCTTTTTGGTATTGGGTAACTTTATAAGGAACCTAGGACTACAAAAAGGGAATAAGGGTACTACTGGGCATCCTAGTGTCTCAGGGCCTGGCATCCGAGTCCCCGAAGAAGGGCGGGTAGCCACACAGGAGGATGTACATCACGGTCTGACTTTCGGGCTATTAGATTTTTTTAAAGTGGGGTTTTAGGGTTTAGGGTTTAGGGCTAGGGTTAGTTGGATTTAGGAGGAGAGTTCAGGATTTATAGTGTGCATCACCACCTGGGAGTTTAGAGTTTGGTTTGAGGGCTTGAGCAAATGAAGGCGTAGCGTTCAGGGTGTAGGCTTTATACACCAAGGTCGCAGAGTTCCGCGATGTCAGACCCACTGTCTAAGCAGTTACAGTTTAGGGTTCAGGACTTACGGCTCCATCACTGGAGCTACCCACCTGCTATCAAGGTAAGTATCGGAGACAATCGCCGCTTGACGCAGGCTCTCTAAACAAAGGTCCAAGACGAAGGTAGAACGGGTTTGCCCAGCAAGGTGGCAGCAAGAACAAACTTCCCGAAGTCGACCTTAAATAAACCCTGAACCCTGTCCCTAAACCCGAAAATATCTCTAAACCCAAGCCGAGAGAAAACCCTCAAAGCTGAGCCCGGGGTATTCACTCGTATACATTGTATGCAAGTATGCATGTACACAGGGCTGTCTGTCCGTCTTTGTGCATGTGTCTATGTCGGTGTGCTACGATGTACGTACTTTGTAAGTGAGTGGAAAGCAGTAACATAAAAGTTCATGCATGATCGTTCAGATGTATGCACGCACCGTCCACTGAAGCTCGGTACAACACTGGAAGGACCGGAAAGGGGGTTAAAAAGCCTGCCTAAGTCCTCCAGGTCAAAGTACGACACACTCCGAAACCACCCCGTCGTAAGGGAGCTGTTCATCAGACCTGTATACTGGGCCCAAAACCCTTAGCCGGTAGCCCTAAGTCTTGGCCACCGGACGCCACAGGTCCACATGTCCGTCGCCTGCAGGTTCCGGTAAGGATTTTGGTGTTGTGGTCCAGGGCCAGGGTCAGAGGCTTATGTTTCAGGGCTTTCCGTATGTCTCGGTGAAATCCTGGAATCTATAGTCCAGGCATTCTATTCTATGTTACGGGGTCTGTTTCAGAAGAAGTCTAAACCTTACAAGGTCTTTCCCTCTTCAGTAAATCCTTGCACCAAAACCTTAGGAAGATCCTGTTCTATAACCCTACACAACTACACAAACTCTCTTCAACATTATACTGCCCTAGAAGCCCTTCAGAACTGTCAGCGGAATGCTGGTTCGGACCGGTGTTGCCTAAAAGCGTTCTCCCGGCCTCAGTGTACTTCCCAGCAAGTATCTGCGGCGAGACGAAGTATGGCCTGAATGACGAACGATGCATGTAGGACTAAGGGTCTAGCAGGTACACTGCAAATGCAGTGTTCAATACTGTGGAAAGATCTAAGTTTTGCGAATGAGGTAGTTTCAAAACTCATCTCCGCACTACATAGTCATCATTAATCATTAGCCTCTCTAACCCCGAGATCCAGACTGAGGCCAACACCCAGCCAAGAACCCCAAGCCTGACCTCCCTAAACCCCATTGAAGACCCCCCGGAACCCTCAACCCCAAACCCCAAAAGAAACCTGAGACCCCAAAACCCGACAAGCCTGGAAACCCAACAGAAAGCATTTAACTCTGAACTCTTTTGACCCTAAAACCCGGAAGCCCCAAAACCCTGAACACTACAGGCCTAAACCTTAGAGCCTGCAGCTCAAAAAAACTGTAAAAACCCTAAACACCAAAACTCTAAACCCTCTAAAGCCCTAAACCCCACATTCCTAAACCTTGAAAGCCCTAAACCCTACCACCCCAGACCCTAAACCCTAAACCTTAAAAGCCACAAACGCATCCTCTGGGGGCCCAGACGCACCAACCTTCGTCTTCATCGTCTGCGCTCGCTTCGGCTCTCTTTCCGGGGGGCTTTGGGGGTTTGTCGGTCTCGCGTGAGAAGGGCTTATAGACTTAGAGGGTTGCAGGTTTTGGGATCAGGGTTTCAGTGCTTTTAAGGTTTAAGGATGATGGAATTGGTAGGGCTTAGAGGGTTTAGGCTTTAGGGTTGAGGGTTTTTTGAGTTTAGGGTTCAGGGCTTCAGTGCTTGTAAGGTGTAAGGATTCATGCCAATGAATATGACTCTACATATGCAGTGACCAGGAGTGTACATGTATGTACATGTGCATGCCTCTTGTGGGATGGTTTAAGGATGATGGCATTGACAGCGTTTAGGGTTTGCGGTTGAGGGCTCAGTGCCAAACGTCTGGGCTTTGAGGCTTGGGCTCAGGGCTCGAGGGAAGGCTAAAGGTCTCGGGTTTAGTTTAGGGATTAGGGTTTAACCGTTTTAGGGTTTAGGATTTAAGGGTTTAGAGTTTAGGGTTTAAGGGTTTAGGGTTTTTAGGGGTGTAGGGTCTAGGGTTTAGGACTGTAGAGGTTTAGGGTTTAGGATGAAGGGTCAAATCCCGCACCCGAATGCCCGAAAGCCACCAAGATCCTAAACCAAATCCTAAACGCTATACCCTAAACCCTGAACCCTAAACCCTAAGCCTAGATCACAAGCCCCAGACTCTAATTTGAGCTCCACATCCGGACCTCCCTGCGAAGGCCTTCCCTAATATAGGGGCCTTCATAATTAGAGCAGGGCTTTGGGCCCATTTATAGTACAACTCTCATAAGGAACCACAAGGAATAATATGGGTCTTTCTTTAGGCTCTTATACAACCGCCGACACCAACTCAGCACCCCAGACGTGTCAAGAATCCTTCACGTTTCAACACGAGTCTTTCGACCTGAAAAACCCGACACCCACCTCGCCCTCCTTGAAGGATCTGGCGAAACCGAAGTCGATGATCTGAGCACGTCCCGTGGTTTGGGGATGATCGGCTGCGGGCCTTCCGACTGTTTTCATTCTGGTTTGGGGGTACAGGGTTTTTTGTTTAGGGTTTAGGGGTTTAGGGTTTAGGGTTCTGGCGTTTCATAGGACTCATGGCAGACGCGGTCGAAATATCCTAACTCCGAAAACCTAACCCCTTAACCTCATCTGAAAGTACAGACGTGCTGAGACCCGAGGCCTACAGGGGAGAGGCTTCTGGTCTCCAAACCCGAAGCATATGGGTTTAGTTTAGGGTTTAGGGCCCGAAGCCCCAGCAGTCCTAGTACCGAGGTCGGAATCATCATCTATACTAATCCTTATACTATTGTGGTATGATGGTCTCTTGTCTCATTGCGACTTTGTGGCTCTACGGTACCATGGCAGTATAACATTATGGCAGTCGATACCCCAAAAACCCAAGTCTACATTTACCTAGGATACCCAGTAACCTAAGAGAAAACGGCCTCTCTTTTCGGTATTGGGTAACTTTATAAGGAACCTAGGACTACAAAAAGGGAATAAGGGTACTACTGGGCATCCTAGTTACTCAGCCTCCTCCATTACGCTGAAAAACGTCCAGCCTTGATCATGTTGGCCTCGATGGGACCTCGGTCAGATCAATGCCAGCGTGGCGCATCTCCGGAGCTGCAATCTACAACGGGATCCGAATAATCTAAACTTTGTGGCTTGGGGGGTACCTTATAGTGTAAGTAGATTGTGGGAAGCTGCAAGGAGATAGTTTTACAAGTTATTGTCGGCCCCATTGCAACAGCCGCAAGGCCTTGCAGCTTCGTAAACTCCGATCCGACAGATGCAAAGAATCTTCGAAGTCTAGCTTGTGGAAAATCGGCACCCTCGTTTTTTTCGATTTCGCCGGGAATGACACTCACCCGGAGTTCACCAAACTGCATAACATAGGGGCCTTGAAAATTAGAATCGGGTTTGGGGTATCTTTTTCTATAAGTATAATAAGGAACCCCAGAAGAGTATAGGCAATATTTAAGGCCCCTTTTTTACCTCGACATCCTTGAAAAAACGGTCGGAAAGTTCATCTTTAAGCATCCTGGGAAAGAAAAGCATCTGTACCAACCTACCTGACAAAAAACAAACACATACACACACATTATAAAGATAAAAGCATGTCTGCGGCCCTAAACCCTAAACCCAACCCCTAAACCCTAAAACCTATCTGACGAGACCCGAAGACTTCAATCCCAAACATGAAGGAGAAACCCCAAGCCGAGGCCGAAGCCACCAGACCGCAAATCCCGAAACAGGAGAAGCCTTGACCTTAAGACCCTAATATAGGGGGCCTTAATAATTAGAATAGGGTTCCTTTTAAAGGGGTCTATAAGGATTACTATATAGGTGGTAGGTGTTGGGTTTAGGGGCCTTAATAATTAGAATATGGTTTTGAGGCCCATTATACTGTAACTCTACTAAGGAACCCTTGACGTAGTATAGGAAATTATTGAGGCCCCTATCTTAAACCCCCCAAAACACCCTAGACTTCCCTGAAACCCTAAAGGTAACAAGCCGAAACCTGCTAAACCCTAAACCCTAAACAGGGTTTAGGGTTTAGGGGTCTAAACATTGAAGTTGAGGTGTTCTCTACCATCATTTGTAGGCGTCTTCTATGACAGAAACCCTGGCGACTCCGTGCCGGCAACGGGGCTTACAACGGAAACTGTACCGGAACGTAGTGGAGCTGTAACGGATTTGTCGCGGAGCTGTAACGGACCTGTAAAGGAGCTGTAACGGAGCTCTGACGGAAGACGGAAGCTGTAACGGAGCTGCAGAAGCTGCAACGGAGCTGTAACGGACGTGCTACGGAGCTGTAACGGAGCTGTAACGGAGCTGTAACGGAGCTGTAACGGAAGCTGTAACGGAGCTGTAACGGAGCTGTAACGGACCTGCAACGGAGCTGTAGCGAACCTGCAACAGAGCTGTAACGGACCTGCAACGGAGCTGTACCGGAAGCTGTAACGGAGCTGTAACGGAGCTGTAACGGACCTGCAACGGAGCTGTAGCGAACCTGCAACGGAGCTGTAACGGACCTGCAACGGAGCTGTACCGGAAGCTGTAACGGAGCTGTAACGGAGCTGTAGCAGAAGCTGTAACGGATTTGTAACGGACCTGCAACGGAGCTGTAACGGACCTGCAACGGAGCTGTAACGGAAGCTGTAACGGAGCTGTAACGGAGCTGTAGCGGAGCTGTAGCAGAAGCTGTAACGGAGCTGTAACGGACCTGCAACGGAGCTGTAACGGACCTGCAACGGAGCTGTAACGGAAGCTGTAACTGAGCTGTAACGGAGCTGTAGCAGAAGCTGTAGCGGGAGCTGTAACGGAAGCTGTAACGGAGCTGCAACGGAGCTGTAGCAGAAGCTGTTGCGGAGCTGTAACGGACCTGCAACGGAGCCGTAACGGACCTGCCCGGAGCTGTAACGGAAGCTGTAACGGAGCTGTAACGGAGCGGTAGCTGAGGGCCCAGGGTGGGTAGGGCAAATCCCATAGTAAATGATGGTAGAGAACACCCCCAACATTGAAGGTAACAAGCCGAAACCTGCTCTGCTGCAGCGGCGCCGTCGCCCGCGAACATGAAGTTCTCGATCTTCAGGTCTCGGTGGACAACCTTCGCATGGCCCACATGGGAGTTTCTCTATTTTCGGGGGCCCTATACCAAGGCTCCTACTATTTAGGGTACTATATCAGGGTCCCCAATTTTCGGAAACTCCCACATTGAGGCTGTGGGGTTGAGGATTCAGGGTTTTACGGTGTAAGGCGCAGGGTTTTAGGGTGTAGGGCGTAGGGCTTTAGGGTGTGGGATGTAGGATTTTAGGGTTTAGGGCTTAGGGTGTAGGGTGAAGGGTTTTGTTTTTAAGTGCAATGGGGTGAAGGGTTTTAGGGTATGGGGTGTAGGGTTCAGAGCCTCATGCCGGGGCTGAGGTTTGGGGCTGAAGGGGTTCCTGTTTGGGGCTCAGGGGTCAGAGGTTACGATATGGGTAGTTGTCAAAATTAGGGTTTAGGGTTTAGGGTTTAGGGTTTAGGGTATGGGTAGTTGTCATAAATTATGGCCCCTTTTGGGGTGCCCTAAATAATAGGTGCCGATTATCAGAGGGGTCCAAAAAGGGACCATAATTTTGACAACCACCCATATATGGGCTAGGGGTTTGGATATAGTTCCGGCGCAATGTGGTGCATGGCTCACCTTTAGACCAAGGGGGTTTAAGGATTTGGGTTTGGTGGAAGAGCGGGGGCGCAGGAAATTGGGCAATTAGGCTGTGGTTCCAAGAAGGAAAACGACTGTAGAACAATCCCCACTTGTCTGTAGCGTGAGAGAGAGCGAGAGATAGAGGGACACGCACATAGAGCAAGAATCCATAAGATTGAAGCAGAGACGGAAAACTCAGAATCCCCGCGCCTTCATGGTGTGCAAGTAGTACACCCCACCTCGGCACGGAATGCGGTTCGTCCACCTCCAAATGAACCTGAAACCCTGAGACAAACCCAAAACTCTAATCTTGAAATCCGAAGACCTCAGCGCCAAAGACAACTTCTTTCGCAAACGCAGGAACCGAAGAAACGTGATGAGCGAAATCTCAGCAACGACATGGCTGAATCCGAAACCCTGGCGAAACCTTGACATAACCCCTGAACCCCAGAAGCCCGAAGCTAAAACCCGAGTTTGGGGCTCCTACGAAAAAACCCCGAGTTTGGGGTTCCTACGAAAAAAACCCTACATCCCAGGGAAGGGTAGGTAAGTTACAGCTGAAGTCTAGGGTTTAGGGGTGTAGGGTTTAGGGTTTAGGGGTTTAGGGTTTAGGGGTTTAGGGTTTAGGGGTTAGGGGTTTAGGGGTTTAGGAAGTCATAAGTGCCCACAGTCAAATCAGATGCAATATAGCCGCCTTAATGACTAGACTAGGGTTTGGACTACCTCACAGTATTGCTATTTTACGGAACCCTAAGGAACAATCTTGGAAATTCTTCCGGCTTCTATATCAGCACCTATAACCCCAAACCCTGAACCCTAAACCCCTCATTGCTCTTGCAACGGAGCTGCGGAAGATCTGCTGCATGATAATTGCCGCTTGGCCTTCCTTTCAGAAGAGTAAGGCTTCAAGGGTTCAGTGCTTAAGGCCATTTAAGCATTTAGGGATTTTGGGTTTAGGATTTAGGGATTCTGGGTTTTAGGGTTTAGGGCTTGGGGTAGGGCTTGGGGTTTAGGGTTTGGGGTGTAGTGTCTAGGTTTTCTGTTTGTTTCTGAACAGCTTTTTGACCTCCTGCCCTCAAGCACCCAACCGCTGGGGGAATCGGAGAGTCTAAGACTACGGCTTTGGATCCTTACATGGTGAAACTATGGAAACCATAAGAACCCCAATCCTAAATTTTCATGCTTCTCACTTGACACAACTTGAGGCTTCTCAGAACCCGAAACAAGGGAAACAACAAGAAGAAACCTTCTGGCTTCTATGTTAGGGCTCAGTAGGGCTTGGTGGCTTAGCGCCCACGGCGGTGAATCCTCATAATCCTCATTCCCATACCCATGACCAAAAGACCATAATCGTTTCTCAGCCCGCATCCTGAGGTGTACATCGCGCACTGCACCGGAAAAAAACCATGAACCCGAAACCCTGAACCGAACCCTAAACCCTAACCCCGAAACCACGAACCCGAAATAGGGCTTGGGGGTGGGACTAGGATTTAGGGTTTGGGACCCTGAATCTGAACCTTGAAATTCATGGCGCACTGACCCAGAATTGCTAGCAACATGGCGCCGGCACCAAGCTGCCATCCACGGTTTAGGGTTTAGGGTTTAGGAGTAGGGCCAAATGCTGTCGCATTGATGTCTTTGCAGATCTTAGCTTCCACAGAAGCTTCAGAAGCTGGTCCTGCTTGCCATCCCTCGCGGCCCAGCTTCCCCAAACCTAACTTCAAGGCAAAAAGCAGGCCACGGGGACGGTGTCACCGTGTCCCCGCTGTCGCCAGCGCTGGAAAACTCCAACTGGCGGCCTGAATGGGTTTAGGGTTTAGGGTTTAGGGACTACCCTCCTCGTCTCTTCTTGCCCATGGCGAGCGTAAACCCCAGAGGCTATTGCGAACATTGTCAGCAGGCTCCGGTACGCAGATTGGATCCGACAGAGTTGCTGCGGTCTGCAAAGCCTTACTAAGAAGAACCTGCTCACTTCCAGCTGAAGGCGGCTAGGGTCTTCTCGCGAGGGTTGCGCTCTGCCCTGCCAGCCTCCTAACAGCGAGCCCCTCCCGCCCCCCGTACAGAAGCTTTACAGAACCCTAAACCTCGAACCCCAAGACAGCGAACCCTAAAACTCTAAACCTGAACCCTAAACCTGGGACCCTCAAATCTTAGAAACCTTGAAGCCAAAACCCATGTAGAACCCCTGGAAAACACCGAAAAAACAAAACCTCAACCCTAAACCCTACCCTGCAGAACCCTAAACCCTACACCCCACCGGACTCCCACCAACAAGGGTCCTTAACAACCCTAGACCCTGAACCCTTATGGAACCCAAACCCTAAACCCTAACCTATACCAACCTGAGAACCATAATAAAAACTACATTTTTAATATTCTCTTGGGTGTTATATGAACAAAAATTTTAAAAAAAAACCAAGGAGACTATTGTAGCGTAATCCCGGAGGGGCCAAGGGTCGGTGAAGTGGCCCGCTTCCAGCAACCGGTCGAAGAGCTCCCCGCCCTTGCAGTACTCCATGACCTCAGCTACTAGGTGTTCAGGGTTTAGGTTGTAGGACTTAGGGTTTAGGGTTTAGCTGTTCACGGTTTAGGGGTTTAGGGGGTTTAAGGCTTAGGGTTTAGGGTTTTAGGGTGTAGGATTTAGGATTTTAAGTTCTAGAATAAGCTCTGGAAGGCTCCATGGTAAGGCCAGGGCTCCATGGGCTCAGGGTTCTAGAATAAGGGGTTTAGGGTTTAGGGTCCTAGAATAAGGGTTTAGGGCTCAGGGTTTAGGGTCCTAGAACAAGGGTTCTCTAGGGGTTCCACAAGGGCTCAAGGCTTGGGTTCGGAGGGTCAGGGATCAGGGCGGTTTAGGGTTTAGGGTTTAGGGTTTAGGGTTTAGGGTTTAGGGTTTAGGGTTTAGGGTTTAGGGTTTAGGGCGAGGGAGATGGGTGTCGGGTTTGGGGTGGTCGTTTTCAGGGCCCAGGCACCCTGGACCAGGGTGGGTTCGAAGTTAGAAGGAAGTACTCAGTAGTCATTGGATAGAATTTGGGAGTTAGTGTCGTTGGCCGCTTGCAGTTCGTAATTGGCAATAAATTATGTTCATTGTTGTGTTATTATTTTTTATTATCATTCGTCTTAGTAGTAGAAGTAGTAGTAGTAGTTGTTGTTGTTGGAAGTGGGCCTCGAAGCTCAAGAGACCGCGAGCCTGGAGAATCTGCTTCTAGCACTCCAGCCACCCATGCAAGCTTGAATACGTATAGGGTTTAGGGTTTAGGGGTATAGTTAGGGCTCACATTTGGGATGCGCTTTCGAGTCCTTACGTGCCTTTGCTGACAGGGTGATGTGTTCTGCGTGGCCTAACGCGGCGAACATACCACATGACACCCATCATCCCGCATACGGCTTCTGCCGAGGCTCCGGGCCTCAGGGGCCGTTTAGGGTTTAGGGTTTAGGGGCGTTTATGGTTCAGAATTTGGCACTGTGGGTTTTGGGCCTCATTATGGTCTAGAGTCCAGGGTGTGTTTCTTGAGCTTGGCTGAAATTTCAGGGTTCTTGCTTGGGTATCGGGGTCTTTTGATCCGAGCCGCGATGTACATGAACTTCCGATCCTGGCATGGCCATCGCGTAGAAGAACTGATGACTTCACATGCACAAAGTTCGCAAAATCAGAGCCCGAAGAATCTAAACTGGGTTCTGGGGCACGGGGGTGGGCTTTGATTAGAGTTTATGCGGGTGCCCCGACTTGAACGAGTATTTTACCTGGTGAGCGGGTCAGGGTGATCATGGATGCAGGGCTTTATAAGGGATCTATATGGGATCCATAAGGGTTTAGGGTTTAGGGTCTGGGTTGTAACAAGGTTTAGGGGTTATGGCTGTTTCAGGTGGCTCTCCGCCCAGCACACTCAACCCCGTGAGACTGAACAAGTTTGGAGGATCGTCGACTCTATGAGCTAGGCTTTTTTGCTTTGGGTAGGGAGTTTGGGGTTGTAGGGTTTGGGGTTTAGGGGGTCAAGTCATAAATGGGCGTTCGGTGTTGGGCGCAGGGTGTGGAGTGTAGGATATTGCGCTGAGGCTGTCCACTGAAAGCCCCAAGGTGCCTCGAAGTGCTCATACAGCTTGACGATATGAGGATGATCCAGCCTCAGCGATGCTATGACAACTATCACTCACACCACCACCATCATCATCAGCAGCAGATGCGGCATCATCATCAGCACCACCACCATCATCACCATCGCTGTCACCATAGCATCAGCATCACCACCACCACCACCACCACCACCAGCACCACCAGCACCACCAGCACCACCACCACCATCATCATCGCCGTCACCATAGCATCACCATCATCGTCAGAGCAGCATCAGCATCAGCATCATCACCCTCATCATCATCGACACCACACCATCATCGTCATCATGTCCTCTTATTCATCCATGGCTCCCGTTGATACTATTTTGCGTCAAATATCGGCACTATTCTAGAATGGGGTGAGTTAAAGTTCGGGATCACTGTAAAAGCCTTACATCCCAGGCCCTCTACCCTAAACCCTAACATCCTAAGTCCTCCACCCGCTTGAAGTATTGAACGATGCGCCATAGGCTGAACACCCGTCAGCCATAAGTCACCCAACTCAAAAGCATAAAACCCTAAACCCTGAAACCGAAAGCCCAACACTAAAATCCCAAACCCTAAGTGAACCACGAGCCTGCACCACCTCAAGCCAGCATTCCATCATTGGGAGACACCGAGACACTCGAGTTATCGCAACCGTTTTCTGGCTTGCGACGTAAGTTGCGGTGGAGGTCTTTAGGTAAGGGAGGTACGTAAACCCCCTCAAACACCCAAAACACTAAACCCCAAACCTGAACGCGAAACCCTGAACCCTAAAGCCTCAGTTCAAGCCTTGTCCATATACACCCCTGAGCCTGCTTGAGGGTTGAGGGTTGAGGGCTCAACGCCGTCACGATATGCGCTGAACCCTCAAAGCACTCTCTGCCATTGAACATTTCCCACCCCCAGGATTCCGCGCATCTTCAGCGTGGAGAGCTCGTTCTGGAACCTCGGAAGGAAGCAAAAAACGCTACGACCGGGGATTGGAACCGGAACCTCAGAATCCTACAACCCTAATCTTTAAACAGAGCTTCAGGTCCTCAAGCCCTAGAAACACCAAGAAGGCCCTAGAGCCCTTCGTGGAGCCCTGATAGAACCCCGTAAACATTTGGGAGTTTCCGAAATTAGGGGTACCTTATTTTGGGGACTTATAATAAGGATCTTACTATTTAGGGTAGTATATTAGGGTCCCCTGTTTTCGGAAACTCCCATTTATAATTTATAATCCCCCAAACCAACAACTCACACTGGCCCTGCTTCGGAAGAGTTCGAGATCTCCGGAAGAATCACATGCAGAGTTCGGAGGGAACTCAACAGTCCTTGGGGCTTTGGGGGCTTGGATAGCTTAGGGTTTTCGGGTTCCTTTTAGGGTTGAGCCTAAACCCTAACTTAACCCTAAACCCCCAAACCCAAACGCCCCCAAACCCAAACCCTAAACCTAACCCCCTAAACCCTAAACCCCTAAACCCCTAAACCTCTAAACCCTAAACCTTAAACCCCTAAGCCGCAAACCTTAAACCCCTAAATCCTAAACCTTAAACCCCTAAACCGTAGGTGGCCAAAAAAGGAACCGCTGAGCGCCCCGCATCACGAGCTGGGACTTCCTTCTGACCTGGCGGCTTCTCACGGGCAGCAGCTTCGCCCTTCTGTTGCTGTATATTTAGGGTTTAGGGTATAAGGTTTGGGGTCTAGGGTATCGGGTTTAGGGGTTTAGGGGTGTAGGGCTTCTCAGCTTCCCCCTTCTGTAGTGGTACCTTTAGGGTTTAGAGCTTGGGGATTAGGGTTCAAGGCCTAGGGGTGTAGGGTTTAGTGGTTCAGGGGTTTAGGGGTTTAGGGGTTGAGGGTTGAGGGGTTAGGAGTTCAAAGTTTAGAGTGCGCAGGCCTTAAAAACAGCTTGAATGGGAACTGTTTCAGACCACGAAGAAATCGTCAGGACTGCAGGCTTTAAAGGCTGTACACCCTCTGCCCCCGACCTGTCGCCGCTTACCCTTTAAACCCGTAGCCCAAGGCATGCCCCAAAGACAGAACCCATGACCTTACTAAAGCACATATGTGGGTGTCGCATCTCTATGACCTAGAAAGCGCCAAGCTTTTTTCAAGCCTGAGCATTCACAACTTCTGCTCCAAGCAAGAATCTCCATTTGGGCAGCAAGCACTGCAGAAAGTCGAGCAATAAGCCCTCGGAAGAAAGAGACCCATACTCGCCGCAGATACTCCTGCTCATGCAGATCCTGCTCCTGCTCCTCCTGAACCACCTCCTCCCCCTAAAGGGAACTCCAGAAAGTTGGAATATGGTTTCATGGTAGGATACCCGATAATTTACCATAGAAGGGTTAGGATAATCATATTCCAACTTTCTGGCTTTTACCTCATTGCTGTTGCTCCTCCGCTCGCCGCTATCAGAAGTACTGCTGCTCCGGGCAGACAGACCGATGAAAGTCATCATCATGACCCTCTTCTTGATCGTCGCAAGAATCTGCTGTCCAAACATCCTGATCATTGCCCCAAACTTTCAAGCCACAACACCTCTCAACTCACGAATTAGAAGTCCTAACTCCTGCACCCTTTACATAGAAAACATAGGCAAGACGCCTAAAACAAGAGTGGCTTCGATTTTGAGTGCTTCTTGGGCCCCTAGTTTAGGGTTTCGGGTTTAGGGATAGCTCTGTTCCCAAAGCGTCAGCTTAACGGCCTGCAGCCACAGCCCTCAATCCTAAGCCTTTCGCATCGGAACGCTCCCTTCCCTGCCTTCCGCAGCATCTTCACTGCCCGCTCTGCGCCAGTGGAGAGGTTGGTGCACCTAGGGCCGTGGAAAACTTGGCACTGGAAGCTACCTGTGCTTTACTCACAGACCCCCTGCATGAAGGAACAAACTTGAATTTGTAAAGGGCGTCTATTTATCATTGAAACGCGACTTGATTTTGTCTGCGTGAGGCTCAGGCTCACCCCTAAATGGGTTTGGGGTTTTGGGGTTTTGAGGTTCGGGATGTGGGACGGAGGATTGAGGCTTAGGATTGTAGGGTTTTCGGGCTTTGGGTTTCAGGTTCCAGGGTCTAGGGTCTAGGCTGTAGTGCTCTGGCTTAGGGTTTAGTTTAGGGTTTCGGGTTGAACCACCTTAACCCAACACCCCGAACCTGCACCACCCCCTAACATAGGGGCCTCAATAATTGCCAATACCATTTTGGGGGTTCCTCAATAGAATTATAGTATAATGGACCCCACAAGCCTATTCTGATTTTTCAGGCCTCTATACTAAACCCCCACAATACCCCTTATAGTAATCCTTACAGACCCTTTAAAGGAACCCTTCAAGGAACCCTCTTCTAATTATTAAGGCCCCCAAAGTAAACCCCCATAATACCCCTTATAGTAATCCTTATAGACCACGTTTAAAAGAACCCTTTAAGGAACCCTATTCTAATTATTAAGGCCCCTCGCAGCTCCCCTCCAAGCCCCCCGCTTTACCACACGTCCAAAGGAGCCCTCGCCGATCTTCTCCTCCTCCACATCGTAGAAATCATGGATATCACCGGCATTGTTGATGATGTAGATGGCGAAGCCTGGCCCGTTGACGGTTTGGTTGTACAACCCGGACATGGGAGTTTCCGAAAATGAGGGGTGCCTTATTTTGAGGGTTCTTATAATAAGGATCTTGCTATTTCGGGTACTATAATCGGGTCCTCTCTTTTCGGAGACTCCCACATCTGGGTCAGTTAATGTTGATGTGTCGGATTGTCGGTTCTTTACCGACACGAACAGCAAAACCGTTCGGGAAACGTTTTCAAAAGGTCTGTCCTTCGAGGTAGAGGGCTGCTGGCATCTTTTCAAAACAACAACTCCAGAAAGGGGGGCTCCCAAAAGCTGTAAGCTCCAAAAGACTACGTGGCTCAGGCTCTAGGGCTTCAGGTTTGAGGCTTTTAAGCTCAGATCCTGGCCGCTTCTTCCGTTTGGGGTTTAGGGTTTGCGGTTTGGGGTTTAGGGGTTTCGGGTTTAGGGTTTAGGGTTGAAGGTTGTGATATGTAGACGTGAACAAGCGACTCTTGACTGAGACACCTTTAAGCCGTCTCAGGCCATGCGGCTAAAAAGGGCCATGACCCCAAACCCTGTACACAAGAGCACGCTTAACATAAACAGCCCCGAAGCTTCTCTGCTTCGACCGAATTGCGCCCGTAAACTTCTTAGAGGACTGTTGCATCCTGCACACTCGACTCACTCTAAGTCAACTCCCACGGCTCAAATCTAAACTAAGCCCTCGGAGCACTCCCACTGAAAAACTCTTATGAAAGCCTGTTAAACCTGATGACCATGCCACAGCCTTCCAGTAAGTCGGATCGCCTCCAGCAAACGAAAAAATATACAAACACAGGGAACAGAGTGTCAACGGCATCCCTGGGTCCCGGAACCCTAAACCCTAAACCCCACACACGAAACCCTACGCCCCGAACCCAAAGGTCCTGACTCACGAAACAGCGAGGCTTAGACCCAAAACCTTCAGCCATTCGGTTTAGGGTTTAGGCTTTAGCGTCTTTTAGGGCTTAGGGTTTGGGGTTTATAGAAATTGTTAAGGGTTTGGGTCCCAAAAACGTTTTGACCGAAACTTTTGACCGAAACGTATTGAACGAAACGTTTTGAACGAAATTGTTGACCATAACGCTCTGAGCGAAAGTTTTTTTTGCGAACCATGTTTTCAAATTTGTTGGGCTAGGGCTCTTGGGTGCCAAAAACGTTTTGAGCGAAACGTTTTGAGCAAAACGTTTTGAGCAAAACGTTTTGAACGACGGTCTTTTCACTGAATCGTTGGTGAGAAACAGTCCAGTAAGTTTCGAGCGAAAGTTTTGAGCGAAACGTTTTGACCGAAAGTTTTCCGACTGAAACCACATTTTGCTTTTGCTGGGTTGGGCTGGGCCTGGGCTGGGCTGGGTCGGGCTGCTTGGCTGGGCTGGCTGGGTTGGGCTGGGCTGGCTGGGTTGGGCTGGGCTGGCTGGGTTGGGCTGGCGCTGGGCTGGGTCGGGCTGCTTGGGCTGGGCTGGCGGGTTTGAAGGTTGTAGAGAAATTGGTTGATCAAGAAGCTTGTTCCGTTTTTGAGCTCCAGCTCAATGTTGGCCGGGCTGTACTGGCGGTTACAAATTTGTAGAGAAATTGGTTTATCAAGAAGCTTGTTCAATCTTTAACCTGCGTGTTGGGCCGTAGCGGTGGTTACAAACAAGGACAAGCAATTTCTATTTATCACTTTCTTGAGGGTTTAGGTTTTAGGGTTTAGGGTTTAGGTTTTAGGGTTTAGGGTTTAGGGCTGATAAACCACGGCCCCAATTGTTGCCGGGCATGCTGTGCTGCTCCTCCTCCTCCTCCTCTTCCAGTAAACTGTGGTCCTTTCAAGGTGCGGTGGTGGAAGCTTGACGGAGTTGAGGATTTGAGCGCTTGGGTTTTGGGCGGATTTGGTGTTTGGTGGTTTAGGCCTTAGGGCTAACAGGATATCGGTGATGATTTGGTCAGGGTGTACAGCTTCGAGTTCAGAGCTCAAGGTTCGCAAAACGGGGGGCCTTAATAGGTAGAATAAGGCTTTGGGTATATTCTGGTAGAGTTGCAAGGAACTCTGAGGAATAATCTTGGCAATTCTTCCGGCTTCTATATCTTCTATATTGGCCTTTTTGTGGAGGTATATACCCTTACTATAGCTATTATGTACCCATTATATAGCCCATTATGGGGTAGGGGTCCACATTAAGGGGATCTTCCCAGTTCCCTGAGTGCGAAGATGGTTCCGACGGTTGCTGTGGCAGCTTCTGGGGCTTTGGGTTTGGGATGGTTAAGGGGGAGCTCAGGGATTTTTTCAGGGTTCAGGATTTAGGAGTTAGGAGTTTAGGGGTTTAGGGTTTTGGGCTTTTAGGGCTTAGGGTTTAGGGTTTAGGAGTTAGGGTTTGTGGATTTGATTTGCGTCTGGGGTGTAGAGCCTGCGGTCTTTAAGCACATGCAGAACCTTGTGAGGCGTGATGCTGTTTCGACTGTTTCAGTTGAGGGTTTAAAACGACGTTATGCAGTTGAGGCTGTAGCTGTTTAGGCAGGCTTCCCAAAGGCACCGGCACTGCAAAAAAAATAAAAGAGTGAAGAACCGGCAGAATGGTGCATGGAGGGTGTTCCGAATTTACTTGGTGCAACCAACCCTCATGCGCATGTCGAAGTGCTCCCACGTGTTGACAAGTGAGCATCGCCCCAGGTCACGATAGATCCATCACCGAGAATGGCAGCAAATGCCCTGCTGGTTGCTGATATGAATCGCACATCTGTCAGCATGTCCTGCACGGCAGTGCTGTCACCTCCGCAATCAGCATCGCCCCAGGTCACCACAGATCCGTTCCCCAATATGGCAGCGAAGGCATGACAAGTCGCCTGGATCTGCTTCACATCCTGCAACTGATGCTCTACAGCGCTGCTATCACCCCCAAGCGCATGATGGCCCCAGGTGGCCACGGAGCCATCGCCCAGGATGGCCGCGAAGGCTCTGTCGCAAGCTTGTATCTGCTGCACATCCCTTAGTTGAGCCAGCACGGCAGAGGAATCACCGCCAGAATCGGGATCCCCCCAAGACACCACAGATCTATCAGCCAGGATCGCTGCAAAGGCCGTGTCCGTGGCCTGGATCTCCTGAACACTTCTCAACTGCGCTTGCACAGGACCAGCGTCGCCGCCGAACAGAGGGTTGCCCCAAGCCACGACGGAACCATCAGAAAGGATGGCAGCAAAGGCACCAAAGGAAGCCTGGATTTGCCGAACCCCCTTCAGCTGATCCTGTGAAGAAGTACTGTCACCGCCGATTTCAGCATCGCCCCAGGTGACAACAGAGCCATCTTCTTGGATGGCAGCAAAGGCGGCACTGGATGCTTGGATGCATCGCACGTTCTTCAGCTCTCCCACCGTGCGGAGATCGCCGCCCTCCTTTGCGGCACCCCAGGCAACCACCCGCCCATCTTCTCGAATCGCCGCGAAGGCCAGGTCGGTAGCCTGGATGCCCCGTACCCCCTTCAGCTGATCTGCCACCTCCGAACTGTCGCCACCTGGGGGTTGTTTTGAATTAAGGCTCCCTTTTTTAAGGCTATGATATCAAAGGTGCCTTAGCACCTCTTCAAGGCATCTGTATCGGTATATACATCTGACTAAGCACCACTCACACCTCCCAAAGGAGAGCCCCAGGTGACCACCGAGCCATCCTTTAAGACAGCCGCGAAGGCAGAGACCGAGGCTTGAAGCGCGCGGACTTCCCGTAGCTGGGTCTGCACCTGGCTGCTGTCACCTCCCACAAACTCGTTGCCCCAAGTTGCCACGGAGCCGTCGCTCAAGATCGCAGCAAAAGCGCTCGTTGAGGCCTGAATTTCAGTTACGTTCCGAAGCTGAGCAGGGCGAATCCTACGCCCGTCCAAGCCCAAGCCCCAACACTCCACAGTCCCGTCACCAAGAATGGCGGCAGCACACCGGCGAGAGGCTGAGATTTGTACCGCTGCTACATGCAAGGTCAAAGCATCTCCACTCTGTAACCCGCTCTGCCGGATGGTGGCGGATCCCTCCAGGACATGCCCCAAGGAGTTAACCAATCTTCCCCTGCTCGTTTCCAGAGCTCTCTGCGCACGGGCACTAAGGTCATCCAACGAGACGTCAACTTCGACTTCAATCGGCAGTGTCTTCCCACTCAGAAGACTCACCTCGATGGACACAGACATGACAGCTTCTCTCATAGGGATGTGGCTATCCTGCTCTGAAGTAACACCACTCAACGGCGTAGTCTGCGATGCAAGGTATGTAGTTGTTGGGCATGGTGCCGAAGATCTCTTACTTGCTGCATATACCTTGAGCCAAAAGTGGTTTGATATCATGATATTCCTTAGCCAGCTACAAGTATAGTATAGTATACCCCCAAACCCTACTCTAACTATTAAGGCGCGAGACTAGGGTTAGGGGCTGAGGTCTCGGTAACCTCACCTCCCACAGCCCAAGGAAAGGGACCCTGCATCCTTAACCCGGGAAACCCCCAAAAAAGATTGGGCTTATAGTTCAGGTTGCTAACATAAGGCTATGCAGCAGACAAGTCCTTCTCATAACATCCGGAACTGATTCCTAATTACTCAGGCTTCGATACTGAACTACCTAAGAAGAATCCAGAAGTCGACTCGGTGGCTCCGCCTCCTTCCGGCTCTTCTCCCGCTGATTCTGAAGCTCGCGTCTCCTGTTGGTGGTTTTGGATTTAGGGTTTCGGGTTTAGGATTTAGGGTTTAGGGTTCAGGGTTTAGGATTTATAGTTTAGGGTTTAGGATTTAGGGTTTAGGGTTCAGGGTTTAGGATTTAGGGTTTAGGGCTCAGGGTTTAGGATTTAGGGTTTAGGGCTCAGGGTTTAGGATTTAGGGTTTAGGGTTTAGGGTCTGGGATCTAACTTTTCTTTTGCTTGCATTGGCTACAGCAATAAGCGATTCCACAAAGAGCCCTTGGCGCTAGGAGTTAGGATTTGGGGTGTAGGGTTTACTGGAAAGCCACATAAAGCTCCCGCAAGTCCACAAAACTCGAACAAGCCTGAGAGCAACGAACTAAAGACAAGAAAACCGACAGGACCCGGGAAAATGAAGGGTACGGCGTGAGAAGTGTCTGAATAATTCGTCACAGCTCTCGAGCAGCTCGCTTTGCTCGCGCTGCCTTCTCCTCGCGCTCGTTTGCTTCGGAGTTCTTCAAAAGCTTCTTGACACCATCGCTGCCATGGCTGCTTGACTCACTGTCAAACCCAGCTTCATCGTTCGGCCCAGCATTTGCCGCCTCCGGCACCGGCACATCGCCATTCTTAGCCACCGGCAGCTTGCCAGTCTCAGTCACCGGCACCTTGCCAGTCTCGGTCACCGGCACCTCGCCAGTCTCGGTCACCGGCACCTCGCCACCAGTCTCGGCAGGCACCACGGCAGCAGAAAGAGTAAGGCAAAGCTGGAAAAGCCATGCCTCTACAGCTCCTGTCTAAGTATACCAGGAACCATGAACACGATTAAGGCCTTTATATTCACGATTCACGAACCCTCACCTTAGCCGAAACCCTTACAGAGCCCAACTCCCAAAACTGAACGCACCTGATTTCGAGGCCTTGATAAGTATATTTGGGATCTTTATACGAAGGAATGCTAAGGAATGGGAGCACTCTGGTCTGCATCGACATTCAGAGTTCTGAACTCCGACTGCATGGATCCACCATAGCCCTTGCCTTGATGGCCTTTTTGGGAAACGCAGGGGCCTCCCAAAATCCCTTCATTACGGAATCTACCGCCAACAACAGTACGGATTTGCTTTGAGGTACTTTTGGGAGATCTGGGAGCCTTAATGTTTTAGGTTCAGGGTTTAGGGTTTAGGCTTTAGGGTTTAGGGTTTAGGGAGAAGTAGACTAGCGTTGGATATCAAGGTCTCGCAGCTTTCTAGTCGGATTTCTAGGATTTCGTACTTCGAACCTCCAAACTATAATAGGATTTTGGCATTGGGGGGCTTAGGCCTTGAATCGTACACCCTAAACCCTGCAGGCCGTTCGGCTTAGGGTTTCTGCGCCCAGAGACTCCATTATCCTTTTAATTGATAACTAGGGACTATAGCCCAAAATACAGTAGGCGCCCCTCGTATGATGTAATTAGGATATATTCTTAAGTCTTAAATCAAGGGATAATGGAGCACTTTAAACCCTAAAGGTATAGATCCAAGGAACCCTATACATTCCTTAATTAAGAACGGAAGAATGGAGTCCCTGCGAGCCGTGTGCGCACGAAGAATGGCTGAGACAGCCACCGGAGGCCGCTGCGGATCGTTGCAACCTCAACTTAGGGTTTAGGGTTTAGGGTTTAGGTTTTAGGGTTTAGGGGTTTAGGGGTTTAGGGTTTAGGGTTTAGGGTTTAGGAGTTTAGGGTTGAGGGTTCAACCACGGAAACCCCTGGTTCATAAGATACTGCTGATGGACAAAATCTTGCATGACCCTAAGGACTCTAAACTATGGGGACTATGGTATATATATATATATTCCTTATAATGGGTGATGCAGGATTTTGTCCATCAACAGTACCATTGCAACATGCTGAAAACGACAACAGGACAAGATGTGATCATACTGATACTAAAACTAAAAGAGTATGAACGCGGATACGAATGCGAGTACGAATAATACTCCTCATACTCATAGCCATACTCAAACCTATACCAACACCAATACCAATACCAATATTGACGCCAATGCTACAGCTGCTACTACTACTACTACTACTACTAGCAGCAGCAGTAGTAGTAGCAGCAGTAGTAGTAATTCTAGTACTATTAATAATGTCAATAGTAGTACCAATACTTATACTTATTGAAGACTAAAGACTAGTACTAATATTAATACTCGTAATCTGGAGCACTTCGAGCCATACCTGAAAACCGAGAAGGTCTAAGCCTCGGTCTTGTCTTGAGAAGTTTGGAAGTTTAAGGGTTTGGGTTTAGGGTAGAGTAGAAATACTAATACCAATAGTAATAGTAATAGTCACAGGCAATGCCCCAAAAAACAATACTAATACTTCACATGCCAAGGCCAAGAGCCCTGAGGCAGCCTCAAAAAGGCACCCAAGCCCCACGGCCACGAAAGCTCGAAGACTGGAACCTTCCAAAAAGGCACCCCAACAAAAAGTTGCACCCTGAAGCCGAAACCCTAAACCGTCTTCTTGAGGGCTTAGGGTTCTTTTTTGTTGAAGTGCAGTGGCTCTTTCTGCTCTGCGCGAGTAACTCGAGCCCGCCACAAGGGGGGCTTAGGGTTTAGGGTTCAGGCTCTTCCGGGGAAAATGACGCTAGAGAATTGGGCGCCGGGCACAGTTCCCCATTCCTCAGCTCACCTTCGGCCCACCTCTGTTCTACAACAGCTTCGCAGCTCGGCCATCGCGTGCCCGGGGAGACCTTGGTGAGCGTCTGGCTGTGAGCTTGAAGAAACCCTACAGTCCTACATAGCAAGGGTTCCTTAAAGGGATCTATAAGGGTCCCTTCAAGGGATCTATAAGGGTTCTACAAAGGGCTTAGGGTTTAGAGTTACCGAATTAGGGGTACCTTATCTTGGGGTCCTTATAATAAAGATCTTAGTATTTAGGGTACTAAATTAGGTTCCCTTATTTTCGGAAACTCCCATATAGCACCCCCACCCCCACGCCTTCTAACCTTAAATCCTACAACAAGTTCGAGCGCAAGTTTCAGCTCTTCGTGTGGAGGCTCAGGGTTCAGGGCGGACGGGTTAGGTTTGGGTAGTGATGGTGATACAAAACAATACAGTAACAAACATACTGGCAGCAGCCCTCGTAATGACATGACCTGAAGCCTCATAACAACGGTAACGACATGAAATATGGCTTCTGCACAGTGTACTTTCATACCATCATATTAGAGAACAGAGCACTCGCTATCATGCCGTACTCACAACGTTATGCAGCAGCAAGACCGAAACAACCAAAAGACTGCCATCAGACTAAGAAGAGCCATGCGACATCCTGAACCCTACACCCTAAACCCTAAACCCTAAACCCTAAACCCTAAACCCTAAACCCTGAACCCTACACCCCAGACCCGAAAGCCGAAACCCAGAACCTTAACCTTAAACTGTGAAGTCTAAGAGATTCTGGGTAGAGGCTTAAGGCTGAGGGCCTTGTTGGAGTGCATCATTGGTACGAAACACAAAGAAAGCCTTCGGGTTGAACCTTAGGGTTGGCTGTCGGAGTTGGGGGCTTTTGAATCAAGAGCGTAGTATAAGGGCCTTAATGATTGTACCATATTATAAGTAAGCTTCAACTTCAACGGTTCAGGATTTAGGGGTTTAGGGCTAAGGGTTTAGATTAAGGTTCAAGGTTTAGGGCGTAGGGTGTAGGGTTTTCCCCCACTGAGGAGGTGACAGGGTGCCGCACCCGCCGTGCCAGAAGAAGGCGCAAGGCAAAGCATACAAGAGTTTATTCAGCTGTCCTAATGATCCCTGCGAGTACTCTTCGAAATGAGACTAAGGGTTCTGGGAAAGATTGGCCCATAGGATGGTTGCGAGGGTGACGTGACGAAGTATTTCGACATCTGGTTCAAGAGTCAACTTTGAGGTTACTGTTGCCACCACTACTTTGGGATCACGTCTGGCTGCTACGATTGTTGTGGCTAGTATGAGAACCCTCATTCCTCAGAGCAAAGCCCTGAGACGCCGAGCAACCGAAACACGCAAAGAAGCAGCGAAGACTTTTGATGGCCCACAATCCCCTGAAATCTCTAAAACCCAATAAACCCCCATAAAATCCCATGAAGCACTAACAAATGGCAGACCCCCTAAAACCCCATAAAACCTATAAATCGCGAAAAGTATGTAGACAACTCCTGAAGGAGGCTTCCTGTGCTTTTTGGGAGTAGTGCTCAGGGGTCCTCACCACAGCGACCCCAGGTTTCGACTAGTATTATAGGGGCCTTCAGAATTAGAATAGGGTTCATTCAAAGGGGTCGATGAGGGCTACTATAAGGGATCTATAGTAGGCTCCATAATGTGGGGCCTTCATAATTAGATTAGGATTCTGGGGTTCCCTATTGTACTTACGGTATAATATCCCCTTGAACCCCTACTCTGATTAGTAAGGCTCCTACGGCTGATGATATAAATCCTGCATGACCCATAATAAGGAACATACCGTAATTCCCATAGTTTAGGGTCCTTAAGGTAATGCAGGATTTATATCATCAACCGGTTGATGATAAAAATCCTGCATGACCCATAATAAGGAATATACCATAATTCCCATAGTTCCGGGTCCTTAAGGTAATGCAGGATTTATACCATCAACCGTATAGTAATGCTCTGGTCTTCGGGTTCCTTCTCGGCTTAGGGCTCAGGGCTCGGCAGAAGGCTGGTCTGCAGAAGCTTGGAGTTTCGGGTTCAGGGTCTTAGGGTTTAGGGTTTTTTTTTTTTAATGGCCCTTTTCCTCCCTGCTACAGTCGGAATACCTGGTCGGTGGAGCCAGTTGGAAAACTCTCAGGCTGGGGAAACAAGAGCAAAACCTCAACTATGTAAAGACAGTATAGGGTTTAGGGTTTAGGGCTTAGGGTTTAGGGTTTTAGGGTTTAGGGTTTTGGGATTAGGATTTAAGGGTTTAGGGTTTAGGGTCACGACTTCGGAGTTTCGGATTCAGGGGTTTACCCGAAGGCCCCAAAGTAGTTCCTTTTTGGGGTTCA